ATGCGTTAAAACATATCATTGTTTGGATTAGCCATGGAGATGAATCACGAGAGTTTGCGTGATGTTACTTTCACAGGGTCGATTTGAAGTCCATGGCATATACTAAGACGTCTGTCTGCGGGTAAATTCACAGGAAAGCAAATGCACTAGATGGTCAATCAATATTCACTGCTTATATCATTTTGAAATACATTCGCATCTTGCAAAATATGACAATTACTCCATATTTCGCCTTCAGAAGATGATGAGGGTCAAATATAATCACATGGAACGCATTTTGCAGAAACTCACTTATTTTGAGACCGTATATTGAGCTCTCTATTTACGCGACTTTAAATTTGCATCAAAAGGAAATTTTTGCACATGCGATATCTTCATGCTATCACCGTTTAGGGACGTCTTCCTTACTCCTCTAGAAGTTCTTTAAATATTACCATAGAATTCAATTTAATATTGAGCTAGAAAAGTACTGATTGTTAATTGCATACGTCAAACTGTGATGACCCAAGCAAAAAATGGGTATCGGCTTTTTCAACTTATAGTCGCGCAACTGAATTGCGGCTTTGGATGCTTGTAGGTACCATAAACCCAACTTCCATGAAGTTCAGCCAAAATACTGCGGCACCTCTTAGCGCTCTTGGTCAGTGCCGCGATCTGGCGCCTGACGTCTTGTCACTCCAGTTCCAAACCATCGCTTTCCTTGGTTGTACGAAGGTGAATAACATTTGCTTAGAGTTTGCGGAGTTTATAGAAAAGTCAATTGCCACGCAGAGTTATGCTAGTCAAACTATAATCCATGATATCTGGTTGCATAAGATTGACATTTGTATTGAGCTGTCTTCCCACGCTTGGGCTGAGGTTTCATGTGAACAACACTAAATACGTTCCAAATTACAATGCCACACCAGAATAAGAGGGTGGTTTACGGTGAAAAGCAAGTCGTAAATTCCAGTTTGGCATTAAGAAAGATGCTTTATCTACAAGTAAACCCTAAGGGAAGTCTATCTTTCCCATGAAGTAAACTAAGTCAAGATTCACCGAAGCCCAGATACTTCGAAATGACACTGCCATAATTTAGATTAAATTTTGGACATTAAACACCATTATAAAAACAAATGTATGTGGATTGAAAGGCTCCAAGGAATTCTCGTGGGTTTTAAAACGTTGACTACTGCCTATAAAATTTTTCTTACTTTTAAAACCGTTCTCCTCCCATGACTCTAGGATAGAATGTTAACCAACCGAAACGGAAGCATCCCTTCGTTCACAACATTTTAAGTGCCTCAATTTACAAGAGACATGATTAGAAAAAAATGGAAAATCATGGACTTGACTTGCATCCACTGTATTCAATGTCGTCTCGATTGCATTATGTGACTTAAAGTCTGATCACCGGTTTCACTGTGCGGGGTGGTTTTGGGGGTCAGTAGCGATAGACCTGTCAAGGCAACATTTCAAGGGAAGGTGAATTTTATAAACGTATGTTTGCAGCCTTGTAAGCAGTATCAGGTACTCTTCTGATGCAGCTGAATGGCTTTGAATGGCGACGCCGCAGTGCAGTGGGCAGCATCGAAAGGTGCGGAGTGGTAAGGAGGATGACAACGCCATCTTAACCCATTCGATGTCTGATGCTGACCTGAGGTGGAGTAACTTTTCTCGTTTTGAACAATTTTATAGTCTCGTGACCTTGGATAGTGCGCCTGATCACACAGCAAGTTTATTCATATACTTTCGTCTGATCTAGGCAAAACGCCAAGTAAAACAGGTTTCTGTGGTAAAACCCACAATTTTCCAGGAGCAGTGCCAAATCAGAAAATGATAACGTACATTTTCAGTATCTGCATTCAATTTCAAGGACTTAAGCACTTATCAGTGTATTTACAAAGTGCAGTAAAAGACCAATTAATGTGTTTTTATTCAGCATCTACGATGTAGGTTCAAATATAGATCAGAGAGTTTGTATTCGATCTAAACTGGTTGCTACGTGGACTACAAGCACTTGAATTGTGCGTTCGATTATCACAAGAATGATGACCAGCTATGATTCCTTAAATTTTGCTAAATAACTAGAGTGAGTAATTTTCTTCAATGAATCAATTAAAGGCTTCGTACGCATTTTCACAGTGGTTTAAAAGCACTAGTTTCTTCACTTTCATGAATACTCTAATTACTTAAGGTGTTGAGGAAAATAGCTGTGCGCGAGAGTGGACTTTCGACCTTTGATAAAAACTTGAATCTAGAATTTCGTTAAACCGTAAGTGGGAATGTGAGGCACTAAAAATGATCGAGTTAAGAAGTGAATGAAGCTACACGTTGACCAGCTTATATCTAGGTTAAAACTCTTTTTATCAACAATCTGACTGCACATTCACCCCATCTTGAATAGGCTGAATCACTTTAGTCAGTGAAATGATAGTTTATTCAGACGTTGTCGTAACAACCATTTGGCCACGACATCTACCCAAAACCTTACTACTGCTGCATAGTGGGTTTGAATGCATTTAACCCTACGCCACGCCCAGTCCGGAAACAGGAGTGCTACCGGATTTCAAAGTCATTCTGAAGATGGTGATACATATCTTGTGTCTAGATTAGGATGACCCAAAAGACAGCAAAAAGGATTAGGTAGTTTTACGAAATTGCAAAAATTAAAAGCTAACTTACAAATGAGAATCTATTGAGACACGTCACTTTACTTTTACTTCAGACCGGTTCTATGCAACTTCAGGCAGTGCATAAATAAGACCCCTGCAACTACTGTGAACGGAAGTGGCTAGAAATCAGTGGATGAATGTAATTGAGAAGGGTTATGTAGTGGTAACCTCAACAACACACGAATCGTCAATTTCATAAAAAACTAACCCACTGATTGGCAAGTGGTAAGCCTCATCGTCTGCCTGGATAATAGAAGTAAATAGCAAAGGACCAGATCCATATTAAAAAGACCCCTGAACTTGATGACTTCAGAAGGTATAATTTAAAAAGCAAAGCATACTTTATCCTTTGGGTGTAAACTATCACCTGAACATTCAAATCACGGAACATTCGAAAGTCCTCACTCAACTACTCCCAGCAAGTTTTGGCAAGGAGTCTAACAGTTGGGGATTTGAGACTCTATGTGGGCACAAATTTACTGTGATTAAACAGAATGGGATCAACTCGTCCGTTAAATTCTCTCAGGGAAAAAAATTCTCTTTGAAATTCGTGATAAATTATTGCAATTTCCACCAGTCATAATAATTATTTTCGCATTTTGAATTAGCTGAACAATTTATGTTCTGGGTGCTAAAGTAGACGATTCAGTTTTATTCCTTACTGAGAACTATCGGCCTCAACTGTTGACAAACAACGGGTGCGTTGGCCGTCTTTTGTTTTGTGCTAGCAGGAGTGGCTAGTCGACATGTTGCACACAAACACAGAGAAACCAGGACTGTGTTTGTGTTTCTTTAGATTATCTCAGAACTTCTCACTCATCACACCTCTAGGGTCGCAGGTAATTTCCGAGTTTATACAGATAAAAGTGTACGCAAAAGAAAGGTAGAACAATCCAATAATCTGGCTGTACAACACAACTATTCTTACTAAGTTGGAAACCTAACAGGAACCGAGCATCAAGTGAAAGGGTTGGTATTTTTGAGGAAATGCTGGCATAGTTAAAGCAATTTCTCGACAACTTCTGCAATACTTCGTCTTGCACCATAGACCATTGGGTTTTTGAGACCGTAGAGGCCTCGTCAACCAGCGTCAGTGACTAGTTACCTGTGGAGAAGGTCTTCTGTTCTAAATTTACACTTGAACCTGTCCTGGCGCAGTGGCTTGAACTTTAAACGCCATTATAGTTGACGGGGTGTAAAGTCGAAGAAAAAAAATTAATTTGCGATACTTAGTTGCTCCGTGACCGGTAATCTCGAAATTGTGCATTCTTCCCTTAAAGGCATTGTTTGAAACACAACGTTTTAAAACTCACCAATCCTTCTTGGCTATCTAGCTGAAAGAAGTACATGTTGAGCCTTTTCCTCATCCTCTTACCTCATTAGTTCATCCAAATTCTTCATAAAAGGCAGTTTGAAACCCTGACCCATGTTCTTCTTCAGCCAAAATACTACTTTTAATTACAGGCAATTGAGTCTACCGTTTGCGTACACGTATGTGGTGTTGACGGTAATTTAAATTAGCGGCAGTGTAATGTGATAGGAAATCGGCCGATCTCAAATTTACACATAACTTTCTAGCATTATTTTTCCCATGGTATCGGCGTCGTTCAGCTAGCGAGTGGTTTTCATTATCTGAATTTTGAAGGGATAAAGGAGACTCAGATTTAATTATTTTAAACCTATCACAAATCCAATTTGCAAATCACATTGCCACTAACTCACATTTAAGTAAAAGGCAGATGTAAAGAAATGAGATTCGATTCCGCCTTTTCCATATAGATCTACAACTGAATATAGCAAATGGGATTCACTTTAATTCTAAAGTATGCGACCGCACATCTTTCGGATCAAAAGAAATATGGAGCCTGGGGTTTTTGTAGACTAGAAAAGTTACCTCAACAGAAATTATTAACTAATTTATAGCAAAGTGTTTTCATTTTATAGTACCACTGCCGTCTTGTAAAAGTGGGTTTTGATGAGACAGGGCTTCTGATGTAAACGGTACATATAAAACGAATATTAATGCATAATTTTTCCGAGATTGGTTGGCAATAGATGTATGTGTGGGGTAGACCTACAATTTTAAAAGCATCTATGTTTGAAGCTGACTTAAGAGAACCGTGGTCATATGTTCCAGATTTGTTGTATTAAATAAACTTCAATTAGCATTAATATTATGGAATAGGGAATATAATTTCACTAAGTTTCATTTTGCAAGTTCAGAGATACAAACGTGGAAGCATATTAATGATGGTCACGAACATTGTTTTTTAAGTTTACTGGATTGTACATCATCTAAAAGTACCTTTCGATCGATTTTTTCGACATTTGAATTGGGTTCCAAAAATGAAGGTAAGCAAGTCACTGTCAAACAACATGCACATTGCCTCCGTAAAGGTAAAGATGTCGAAAACATCCATCAAAACCTAGAATAAACGTGTTTCTTAGAGGTCGACATGGGTGCATTTTTCCGGATACTTAAACATTTTTCCAAGTTCAAAAATGTTGAAAGTCTGTTTGAAAACGAAATATTGCCCATATCCATTTTAAATGCATTTTGTTAAACCATTATGATATAAATAATACCCTTTGGTATTGTAAAAGCATCTTGACTGACCAAATAAACAAAGGAAATGCATTAAAGAACCAATTTTGCAGGAAAAGCTTTTTTCTTTGAAACATTCTTGTATTTATTTCAACCACCCTCATAGACTCACATTGCAGATATCAGTTTTCTTTGAATTTAATGTATTCAACTAATTTTTTTTTGGTTTTACACTTCTAAGCAGTATACAATTTCCCAAGTAAAAAATTGTACCGGTGTAAAATTGGTTCCTGTTCTGTCAATTTATCACTTGATTTATCAAGGATTGCTTTAAAAATAATTGAGTGTTGTTTAGTTGTGATGGAATGGCTCTAAGAGAGGGAGTTTTCCGGGTAGTTTATCCTGCTTTCAGTTTAACTCGTTGTTGACAAGTGGGTCCGAGTAACACCCCAAGTAGCCATAAGAGTTACAAATTTCGAACCGGTCTAAGTCTTGTTTAGTGACATATTTATCCGGGATTGTGCCAAGAACTTGTTGAATCAAGACAGGGAGTCCAGTTGGCATGCTATCTGACTAACAAATAGACAAAAACCTGATATTAATTGAACTGCTGAAACTTGAAAAAAGCACCTTTTATAGTCTGAGGGGCAACAATCAAACTTTTAGAGCCTACTTCGCTACCTCCTCGTGGCTTTTCTCAAAACGCCAGCTCCACTCTGAAAACTTTCTAGGAATCAATATATAACCTTATAAAATTTAAATGCCGAAGTGGAATCCTCCCAACTCCGACTGAGTTTGTCCGCATAATGAAGTTTCTCAGTGAACAACTAATTGGTTCAAGAGCCTTACAAATAGAGGGACATCCACAAATGGCACATCATGATATTTTTTTTGTCCTGCTTACTATTGATTCGGGTTTATGCAGAGTTTAAGAGCACGCAAAATAAATTGACATATCTAGCTGCCTGGAAAACAAGCTGAGTATATTAGACTATAAGCTTAGTTTTCTGTGGCCGCTTTGCCCAAGGAATGAAGCATTGATTATTCCACACTGTTTATCTTATATTTAAAATAATTTTTCGACACATTTACGAAGTTATATTCCGTAACGACTTGCTCTTTGGACAAAGTTTCAAGGTTATGCCAATGAAGAGCTATTGAGGCTAATGCCTTATCTTTTTTGAGGTAATTTACTTCGTGATTTAATTTCTCTAACTTCCATTGGAGGAATCCAGTTACATAATTTATTATGAGATCCACTTGTGGTGAATAAAAAATACCGACTTAATCAATATCGTTAAATTTATTAATGATGGCTCTCCAATGAGTACCCTGCAATGTTGATGTTTAGACCGTGTCATCGCGGTCATGCTTAACATTTTCAATTCCAAAATACTCCATGAGACCCTTTTCCGATGGCAAAATACGGAGGCAATCAATGTTAAATTGACATTTCTAATAAGTTTGTGAAGGACATCAATGGAACCTCCACCAATTATTATTGCGTGCACCATTCTTATCGATTAATTTTGTTATTTTTGATAAATGCATCAACATAATCCTGTGCATCTGCAATTAAACGAGGAACCAAACTCATGGCAGATGGTAGCATCCGTTAAAATATTCTCATACTACAGGTGGCTCAATTAATTATCGTCCTGATCGACGTTTTAAAAGTACTCTGCTCCGATCCACAGCTCTCTGATTATCTTCACCTCATTCAACACAGTCGACTGCCCCAAGGTTATGAATACAGTGCTCGTTCGGGTTTTTCTCCTGGCCTGATAGGGAGTGAGCATGTTCCCGTTGTCCTTCCCCCAGTCAAAGTACCTGGGCGTTCCCGTCTGAATCCTTGGTACACCGTCAGCCGGGACCGCTGGATCCATGAGACCATGGAAGATCCAAATCTTGAGTCAATCTGCAAACGAGCAGCTCAACCCTGGCTGTACTGTGTATTTCGATGGATGCATTTCCTGAGACAAGGCGAAAAGCTCAATGAGATTCAAAAAGCCGAAAAGGAAGACTTTAGGAAGGCCCTTAAACAAACTATTGTAGGGGCTTCAGCGTTTAGGCTCGAGTATATCGCATTTTATTGCCACTTGAGACGCGTGTGGCAAGTAGGGAAAGATGGTGACTGGCATGAAGTCTACTCGGACCCCTACGGTCTGTGTCCTCGGGTCTGTAGTGATCGCAGCGGAATAGCGGCGGAGACTGTGGCCAGTGAAAGTGGGCATTTGATCAGGCCGGAGAACAGGTTTATGCAGTGTGTCCCATCCAGTGGAATGCCGACTGTTTTAACCACGAGTTGTGTTCCCGATAGGAGAGGTGAGTTCAAAAATGACTTATTTTAGAACTAGGTTTATTATCTGGTGATATTTGTGATTTATCTCTTTGTGAATTTTATCTAAATGCATTTAACCCTTAGGTGCTTGTATAATAACAGATTTGACAGATGTGGACAGGACTGATTGCAGTGACTACGGTCTGACTTAGCAGAATTGTAGACTACTGGGCTGATTTAGTCACAGTGCTGTTAGTATTAGGTTAATTCAATCTGATAAATTCTCACAAGACCGCTGTCACCTGATGCCTAAGTACTCAATAACTTTACCTTGAGCTTGTTTCATGGTTAATCAGCAAGTTAACTTCATGCCTTACTTTGTAAAGGCGGTCGGAATTAGTTTTAATTTACTTCCAAAGTTCGCGAGGTGTCTTCAGAGTTGACATTTGGATTCACGTTAGAAAGTCAATAGTCGAGAAATCGATTCACCGCTGCAGCCCTACATCCACAAAGGTAAATAATGGCAGAAAACATACCCGCACTAATGATTTAACAATAGCCACAAGGCAGAAATATGGTGGTTAAAAATGAAAGTGGGTTCAGAACCCTCCGTAACTGTTGTGTTCAAGATCGAGAAGACTAATATCCTCCCTTCAAAAAAGCGGCTGAAGGTCTCACGTTACGAAGCACCTCACTGAGTTAATAGACGGTGGATTCTACAGTCACAAACTGGCCTTGAGACGAATATGCCCTGCTGGTAACTAAGACTTTAACAAAAATTAAAAAAAAAACAGTCATTCAATTTTGGCTGCAGCAAGAGTTAAAAATTTAAACTGGAATCACAGGATACAAAACAAACGAAAAGCAGTCACACTGTTAGCTAGGGCATTCAGGTTCTTTCTTGTGTGTGTATGTGATCCACTATCATTTTATGCACTCAAATATTTTTGTGATGAATATATATGTTTTTATTTTGCTTACAGAATAGAAATAGCGAAACGCGCTGTATAGAGGTGCAAAACTACACGTGAAAGCAATCTGTTTGAAATTATATAAAATTTGTGCCAGAAAAAAGAGTACTAAAAGACCAAATTTAAGAGCTATTGGATGTTTTCAGGGTGCTAGTGTATATTCTGCTTACACCTACTTCTCACTCGCTCACAAAAGTCCATAATTGATCTTTGTCCAGTCGGTCTCCATACGAGCATTAGTTTCTCCTGTCAGTGTCCTTCAACCAAAGAACACGAGTGGTTGGACAATCCGAAAGTCTGCTCATGCAATCTTAACTGGCGAATACCACGGTATTGGCGAGAAAATGAAAATGATGGCAATTGGAGATTCAATCCACCGCAATACTATCAACATTTACCATGCAACAGAATGGGGACGCTGGATGTTGCGTATATCTGCATGGATAACGAGGGTCACCTCATCAGTGGGTCTGCAAAGCCAAACTGTCGGAAAGCTGAGTACTGCCTCTGCAAGACCCAGTACTATGGAGCATTTTGTGACAAGGTATCAAATTGCTATCTTTATGCTGACCGTTCAGTATCATTTAAGTAAGCTCAGTGCAAATAATCAGCTAATTCTTCTACAAAATGAATAAATGAACGTCGTCAGCTACCTTAGAATAACATCTTAAACCTTCAACGGTAAAGTGTTACGCTAATTAAATTTTGTCGCCAAGATGCAACTGATATTAACCAAAAATTAACTTTATAAATGGACACTTCAAAGTCTGAAGGAACACGTTTTTCGTAGACTCGAGCAAAGAAAATTAGTAGCAACCAAATAGCAATCTACGAACATTTGTCACTTTTGTTTTATTAAAGTGGGGTTCTTTGTGGCTTTTCAAAACACGCTCAAGGTAAATTAAAATCAAGAACTTCAAAAATGCGACTCAAAAACAGGCGAATAAGAGATGTTTCCAAGACTTAAAAAAATTATTCAAATCGCGAAAAATGTAAGCGTTGAACACTTTCGTGATTCTGTGTTGAATTACCTTGTTCTTTGATGATTCACTTCTGATTTTTAAACTGCAAATTTTAAATGCAAGAGCATTTGTGTAGTAGTAACAGGTGATTAATATACGGTACATGCAGATTTTGAAAGTTGACGTAGCACTAAGTTGGAAGACCACAACATTGCACTGTCAACCTTGTGAATTATTAGCATGAAGACAACTATGTAACTCCTCTCTCAAAAGATTTCGCATCTTAGTTAACCGAAAAACCTCTACGTAAATTTGGTTTCGTTTTTATGCATAATGTTTTTTCATGCATAAACATTGTATAAAGGATGTAGTGAATATTGATTTTCAGGCAGTATTCAATATTAAATTTTAAAACTGAAACATTAGTTGAAACTCAATAGTCTTCGCACTTACTGTGGAATCCAGGAAGGCATTTATCATGTTCGAATGTATTCAAACATTTCCCCTAAGTCAGCATACCATGTGTTACGGTCACCCAGCACTATCGCGTGCGCATCCTGTGGTTGATTTCAGTGCCAGTGAATTTCAACCAATTTCCTATAAATATTTCAGCAGTTCTTGCCCACCATATTTTTGCTCTGTTATCGAATTTCCAGCGTCATTCAAACTGGTCAGGAGTGGATACGATTTTAGTTGTTTGGAGTAAAGATCAATCGCATTTCCCGCGATTCTACATATCTAGACCATGTTAGCCATTTACAAACTACTAGGTTTTATAACTTACGCAGAGAATCTAAGGCAGGACGAAATTACAGCATACTTTGTTGCAGATTAAAAACCCTTGCGAGCTGCCAGTAGGGGACTCGGTAACGGGTAACACAGCCTGCAGAGTGGCCGAAGGCAACAAGTGCATAGCAGACCATGTTTCAGGTGGTTACACATGCCAATGCCGTCCCGGTTTTCGTAGGTTCAACTTCACCAAGGGTCCAATGATGGGAAGAGATAATTGTGCTGAAATTGTAGACGTTTGTCAGGAGATGAAGTGCCTTCATGGAAAATGTATATCGGTAAGTAAAACTATTGTTTGCTCGGAAGAGAATTAGATGACCAAATTTTGGTACAGGACATCAATTTTCCAAAAATAAACCATCAAGTTAGTGCGGAATATACTGCTTTATACGTCTGCACAAGACTTTCCCTGGTAGTCTGCCCAGTGGAATGAGTGCCGATCACTCAAATCGTAAATTACGAAAGCTTATGACTAGTTTGATTCCTATTTGAAAGTATTAGGGTACCCCAGGTAGAGTTAAAATAGCGGTTTTCGCACTATATATGTGAGAACGCCGCATTAAAAACGCAGTCACCTCAGTTGGAACGGAGCGTTGCCTAATTTTAGGCAGCCAACAGCAAAGTCACCAATATCCTAAAAGAATAGATCACTCATCAATTACAAGGCGCCAGTAAATACACATGTTAAGCGTGCACTCCCGGGCCTGTTAGATTGTCTCGGAGCACCCAGGGAACATACGTAGTTACGAGTTCGACGATTTCATCCACAACATGATCTTCCCCACACTGGTCCAACAGAATTTCAGGCTTCAGAGGATTGCTTTGAATTTGGTTTGTATAGTTTGCGCCCAAAATCAAATACAATACTTCATTTTGGTTGTCTACTTTAACCACTAGCACTAAAGTCGAAATAATGGATTCTAATGGCATCGAGACTTACAAATGTCTTCCCTCCTCAACCAACCCATGTAAATATTAGCAGGTTAAGTGTTTTGACATTTAAACAATGAATCGTTTTGCTGAGATGGCAGGATCATTTCAAAAATGCACTAATTAGCCTTCATATCGATGCTTTAAGTTTGAAAGCTTAATTTCAGCTCACGCATACAGTGGCTTCACTTAGCACTACCTTGCAACCCTCTATTTAACAGCTTATTACAACCTGAGAAGAGGTGGGAGAGAGTCAGCAGGAACACGACCGCCTATTCGTGTCACACCAGCAAAGTGGCATTGCGTGCGCACGAGTACGCGTGCATAACAGGCGACCGCTAACTGGAACTAATAACAAAAGGGGAAAATCGTTGGTACAATCGGGCCATCATACACGCATCACTCACGCGAGGTGGCTGTCTGTCCACAGCACACTGACATCCATCAGGGACAAACGGTTCAACCAATTTTAATTTGTAGCAGTTTAGTGTTTTTAACAAACACACTGGAACATGTACGTGGGCACCATTGTCGTGCTTTTTGTTTGGCACACATAAGATTGCCTTTTGGAAGTTGTTTTCAAGTGGCGTAATGTTAAAAAATTGCGCCAAAGCCTCTGTCCACTCATCCCTCGAGGCTACTGAGTGGGACCCTGCGGTGGGACTTGTGCGAATAGCAGCAAAATGTCTCTGCGACAACGGCTGGAAAGGGCGTCTCTGCAGCCACCCCTATCCGGTCAACAACTGGGTTCCTTGGACATCTTGGACACCCTGCCAACCGACTTGTCAAACAAGTCTCTACCTGGGGAACCGATACCGGTACAGAAAGCGAAGGTGTCTCAATCCTTATCTAGGCGACTGCAAGTTCATGGAAGGCGAGAAGGGAAGAAGGACTGATGAGCTATCAGCACCGGAAGTTGTTGAAACACGACTCTGCCGTACACGACCCTGTGATCGCTATCTCAAGTTGGAGTTCGACGGCAGTGAAATGGCACCCATAGAATTCGTAAGGGCTTTTTAATTAACATAATTTACTTTAGTAATTTATTCAGTCTTCGCACGTGATGCATGCCAGTTTGAGAATATATTTTTCTATTCCTCGAAAGACAAACACGGACCTCTTTTAGAGCTGGGAAGTCGAGGTGGCAATTTATTTTAATAGTAGATGAGTATGGTAGTATAAATATAAATCTGTTGAAATAGATAAACATAGGCCCTTTGACGATAGGAACCTGGCTACCAAGATACATCTGTTTTGAACACTGAAATGATGGGTGGAGAGTCGTACCGGAAGTCTTAAAATATTGTGTCGGTGCAGATAAATTAACTCGCTTCCATATGATATCTTCTGGTTCAGAATTTAGCTACAACTGCAACAGAGATGCAGACGTGTATACTAGAGCAATAATATAAAACCTTGGGCCGGGTGATAGAAAATGGTACTCAGTAGAATGGAGATGAGCACTTCAGTAAATCGACAGGCTTACGTTGTAATTTGGAATGACAAAGTGTAAGATTGTATGGGTCGTCGTGAGCCCATTTTGAAAGCGGGCGTCCCAAATGAAGCCCACTTAAATGAAAGTGACGCTTACTTATGAGATCAAGTAATTAAAATAGTTGCTAAGATTTAGCATTTTGCCTAGATTTCTGCTTGCTACTTTTCATATTTCACAATCCTTCCCTGCCCCTCTTTATTGCAATAGACATATTTCCATGCTTACAATTTTCTCTTTTGATCGCAAGTGGGCATGCATCTGTGCGTTTAATAGGCATTATGCCCACCAGTGGGCATTCAGTTCCATTCTTACCATCAGTTATCAAGGAGGCAATGATGACAAATATGAAATCAAAGGACTTCCACGCAATGACAAATTTAAAGTATATTTGAAGTCCTCATTTAGTTAGCGCGAATCCTAATTTATTGTCAGCTATGTTGATACCTGGGACAGTTGCAGTCATCGATATTAATATAAAAGAAATTAATGATGTCGTCTACCCCATGTTTTTAAGGCGGAATACTGGGAACATTCGAGTTAGTGTATGCCTGTCCTACCTTGATTACCTCCACTCATTCACTTAGGAAAAAAACTATAATTCGCGATCGGAAGTACTTCGAATCACGTCTTTTTTCTTAATTAAGTATATGAATATGGCTTTTTCAGCTACATCCGATTTGGCAGGCAATGAAAGTCCTCGGACTAGTTATCGTGGCCATTTGTTTACTTCTCCCTCCAGTGACGGCACTCGCCTATTGGTCGGTTCTACTGCAGAGCAGGCGGGCGGGTCACCTGTGCAAAGAACGTTACCTAATGGCTAAGGAAAGTGCTCGAAGGGAGCAACAGAAGAATGAGACGCTGCTGAAGGCCAACTTTTCTGCATGAGCTACTCTCTCATGGTTTGTGAATGGTGACCAAGCGTTTAGTCAATCTGAGTCTAAGCATGATTGGCTTAGTTAAACATAAATATTTCCTTATTTAAATATTCAACTCAACAATACTTGTCCATTAAAACAACTTGATGCGTATTTGAAGGTGCCCAAGCCCATGGAACTAAGTCGACGTCGCATTAAGTCCATGCAAACCCTGTGCATGGTAAGATGAAATGCCCGAAAGTTTTCCAAATCGTCACCTTAAGTCCTCTCTGAGAGCCAATATTTGGTTTTACATGGTGGTTTTGTAGTTCAACATCTGGTAGATGGTAAATTTACGTTGAATAAATTAAGATTCCTGAATTTACTAGATTGACTTCATGTCACTGCAGTCGCTATACAAAATCAATGATTAGACAAATATGTTTTTGGCTGTAATTAATGTGGACCCACCAAATTTCTGTATCAAAATTTTTGTGCTTGTTTAAATTCCCTCAAGATTTCCTCAGGATTCATTCAGAAGCATGAGGTTAATATTTACTTGTCAAAAGGACGCGCTGATTTCGATTCCATTATCCTTAGCAACATGCAGCAATTAAGTAAAAAAAATTCTTTTAATAGAGACCTTTCTATTTCAACAACCCGGAAATATAAGAAAATTCAATTTTAAGTGATTTTCAAATAAAAATCGTAAATATCACTAACCATGAAAAGAGCAAGCTCTCAAGCCACACGTACGTAAATTCGAATAAACAAGGACGTGGGTAAAGAAAGGAAATAATCATTTAAAACAATGAAAAACTGGTTTGAATAACACAGATAGGAAGGCGTTTTGTTACTATCTGCATCGTGAAAGAACACAGTGAGAGATGAAAATTCAGGAAGGTTGGTAAGCTGGTGTGATTCGCCTTCATCACAATAGGGACAACTACACGCCAACCATCTTTCTCGCCAAGAGTTGCTGCAAAAAGCAAAAAAATTAAGCAGTGGAGTTAGTTGGAAGGAACCCATGTCCGAGTAGCAACATTACAAACACTAGCTTATGTTTGCTTGCATGCCAATTTCTTTCACATACGTATAAGTTAACCCATAACCGTAGGTCAGTTTGACCCTAAGAGTAAAGTTCAAAGAGAGTTGTCAACACAAAATTTGCCATCGGGGGTTTTCACAATGAGCTGAACAGAATTGTCTTTCAACCTTACATCTAAAGTAATGAATGACTATCTACTTAACGTTTATATCTTTCTACTACACTGAAAAAAACTTCGATACTGTTAAGCATGGCGATTGCACATGAATTTTTCTCAAAGGCAGCTAAAGTATTGGCTTTCTGCGACAGCAGAAAGAGAAGAAGCTTAACCTGGCCAGTTTTCAATGACACCAGATTTCTATAGTGTAAATTAAAGCCAGCCCCTACCAGTATACATGCATGTGCATACAACGAGCGGACTGTGAATTATGGCAATGGAATAGCGGGAAGCTTACAGGAATGGCGTAGATGAAGAGTGCTAGGAGTAGAACCGCAAGGAAAACACAGATAATCGTGATGAGAATGCATTTGAAGCGCTTGCAGATAATGAATTTGCAGGTCTTGAAAGGTGAGGTAAACCAGAAGAAGGAGGTTTCTGGGCGTCTAAACAAAAAGCACATAGATTGGTTTGCGAGATCCGAGAATAATGATAATAGTTGGATTTGAGGATCCGACCTTAGGACCCTAAAAGGTCCGTGTTGATCCAGTATTTCTAACCAAGCATTAGTGTATCAACTGACGGTACTGGTTTTAAGACACCAGTTCGTTTTACAATGGTTACGACTTTCTAAACAATTTTGCATCCAAAACACTTTCGTTAGGGTACTGCAGCTCCAATTTCAGGACAAATTAAGGGGGGGAATCACTAATAATCTGAACAACTCGACTTTAGATTACTTAATAACCTAAAGGGTAGGCATTAGTATGAAATGTATTTCTTTCGTCATTGAGATAGAGGTGAACTGCAAGTGCATGGTACTTTTGTGGTGTGCGGAACAGTGTGTTAATTATTAGGCACATAAAAAACACAATGGTTCCCTCATTTATGTGCAATGGATAATACACTTTGTTGTCAAGCTGTGGGATAAAAAATTACTGATCCCGATGAGATTAATTTAGCTGATTCAAAACAATGTAAACGTTCAAGACATACTTCGGTTTGTCTAGATGTGGATTGGCATTCGGTTCATCCTGTCCTTTTCCTGCCGGTCTTTCAAGAGCCTCTTCTTTGGTCAAAAGCTCCATTTCAGCTTCGAGTTTGCCCTGGAATTGGAATCACACATTAAATAATTTCCTGGTCGGGGGCCTATGCTTGTTGCTGTTTCAAGAAATTAAGCGACTGAATGCGTATCTCTAAGGGACGCTTTCACGCTCACCCTTCCACCCAAAGTCAACGAGCTCGAGTCTTGATTAAGGAAACTTCACTTTGAGTGATACTTGGTGCTACGAACCGTAAAACGTGGGGTTCGGTTACCGTTACTGCATGAACGGTGCAGCATCTAGCGCCGTGAATTTACCCATAAACACAGTGTGCTGGGAGTTGTTAGTAGTGACCAGGCACTGATTTCTGATAACTCCGCTTCTGTCTACATAAAAAGATTATGCACGCATATTTACACAAATTCATTTAGCATTTGCGTCACAACACACTGGCAAGTCGTCAAATGGCTTTCCTACTTTTTTCTATGTCCCATGATTATTATCCCGTTAAAATATAATTTTCCGAATAAATTGTGAATTGGGGCAATTCACGACTATCACCTCTACCTAAACATGTCCTGACTTATTCTTCGCACTTGGCCACCGCGCATTGGACCTCTACTGGTCTCATTGCTCAAACACCGTTAGGATGACATTGCGGGGTTGTCATCGCTTGCTTCGGGTCGTTCAACTGTCGTGAGTGCAAAAATCACGAAAACAGCAATTTAAAGGTAAAGAAACAATGTCCTCACCGTGAGCTCGCCATCCGGTCCTGGTTGGCTCGCAAATGGCCAGAAGCCGCTGGTACGCTTGCACTCAAACAAATTGATCACTTTCGTATTTGGACTGCTAGTGTTCATCATTTCGAGGGTGCATTTATCCGCCTTTTTGGCCGGTTGAGGCATATGTGTCAAAGGCAGCTCTAGCGTGCCCAAAAAGTCGTCAGGCGAGAAGAGATCGTTATCCCAAACCTAGGTGGAATTATACACAGATTTTAATGGTCAACATAAAACCACGGAAAAGCACCACTCGGGATTCTGTGTGGAATATTATCTTTCAAATTACGTTAAATGCTCAAATACAAACAGCGGAGGTCAATTTCGAGTACCTGAAGACACAGAACCGCTGGCAGTCGTTTTTCTGTTTTATCGAGAGACCAGAAGTGCTCCTTCTTTGAAACGACCAACTCATTTTCTGCGGGGATGTATCCGAAGGGAAAGATGAGTCGCCAGTTGAAGTTACCCTCGCCATTCAGAGATCTGTAGTGAACATCAGTGTGTTCGCGCTCGTCAACACCCATCAACCAGCCCTAAAAACGTAACTAAATATGATACACAGTCTACTTAAAGGTAATAAGTATGGATTGCAATCAACATTACCTTTACGTAGATATCAGACATCCGCTCGCCAGTGATTGATGTTTCATCAAGTTTAACATCGTACGTATTCCAAACAATGACACGCAGCTCATATTCCTTCGGGGCACGCGGGAAAATGTCAAAGGACGGCCCAGGTTGGCCTAGATTCAACGGGAAAATGTCGACCCAGAGTTCGAGTTTGCCCTAAACGAAAAAGTTACCACTTAAGCTGTAAAAGAGGCAAAATACTATGAAACAATGAAAGCATTCTGGTGGTGCAAACAGCAATATGTGACATAGAACATAGAGAAAAGTAGCAAAACCACTGAATGCACATTGAACAACAGATAATCAGGTGGGCAAAATCGAAACAGGACTTATAATTTTGCTTTGTGCTGTTTACGTTGACTACGATGTTACGAAGGGTAGATGGGATCCTTTTAATGCTGGTCACTTAATGTTGAGTACTCAGTACAGAAGTATTCCCATTAAGCATTAACCCTGGCACAGTAAAACGGTTGGATAGAACGCGGAATCAGTGAGCATTGGTTCGGTATCGAAACGGGAAAAGGAAGTCTTTGATTAAGAAAAGGTCTTATTTTCAATGCGTGCCACAAGTTTTTGACAAGCGGATATTTACGGCACGTAACCACCGTAACACATGATATCAGCCAAAGTTTCACTTTAAAAACATGAGGGGATCATTTCAAGGGCTTTGAAATGCCAAATTAAAGTGGTAAATGAAACGGGATTTTGAGGACCAATCATCGAACACGAAAGGTTCAAGTTCAAGATAGTAGGTGTCGAATACGGGGGAAATGGCGCTGAAAACCGCGATAGCTAAGTTGGTGATTTTGACTTTGAGTTAACAAATGGTGAAAACAGTGGTTCTCCGACTAAACCCACACCGTCTCTCTTCAAGATCCATTCGTTCAAAGCAAGCCTGGTGTCCATGGAATTGAGCGTTGGTAATTCGGTACCCTTATTTTAAATTTGGTATTTAAAAAAAAACTATGCTTAACCCGAAATAGTGGACGGATGACTATGAGGACAAGGTACTTCCACGTGTTACTGCTAGCCAGAATCTGGGCTGAATGAAATTATCAAGGAAAAAGTAGCCGTTACGTTACACTGTCATGACATGATAAATCGAACATTGAATCGACATCAGCCTAATCCTTCTTCATCATATGCAATTGGCCCGCACAGGAAACGATAAATTAATTGGTGGCCCGCTATCGAAATCAACCTGTGTCAAATAATATGCTGTCCACTGCTTACTTAGACACATTGAAAATCCACGATCTATAAGGAAGCTTGTGCGGGTGCATAAAGGGAATCAGAGGAGTTTGCTCGTAATTATTTCATACACGCAAAAGTCTAGTATACACGAAAATTGTCGTGCAGAGTGACAAATTTGAATAAAAATGGGGAGTAAAATCAAACATGTAGTTTTACCAAATGGTTTAGGGGGTAATCTACAGACTGATAAATAAAAAAACTTAAATATGTAATAAAAGAATAATTACCCATGTATAACATACAACAGGATTGGTTTGGTAGCGGCAACGTAGGCATTAAGGTGATTTAAGCACAGAGAACTTTGAAAGTCAGTCTACCGCAATTACTACATTTTTGCTCAAGCAATCTGTTTGTCTGAAGGCCTATCTAAACTCTTTGTGATCCATAAAAGCAGCGTTTTCTCCACTGAATGAAAATCTGACTCAATGGGGCGATTGTGGATAAACATTACATCTGCTCATGTTCAGTGCAGCGAAATGTCTTATTTCACTTGAACTAATCCATTTCGCCGATTTCAGTTAAAGAAGAAGAAAGTCCAAATCATCGCGTTTCAATACGTTGCAAACCATTTAAAACGTGAACTTGGAGAGGCATATGGACTCGACCCGCGTCAGAATGATAAAACCAAACATCTCAGATTTAACAATTGACATAAAAGTAACAGGTGTGACCAGCAGAGGCCTCTTCAATCAAAAATTAACCTTTTGTAAACTGATCACTTTGGTTCGACAAATTTGAAGAAATAGGATTACCTGATCCATTCCAGGCTGAACCATATTGTGAAGTATCCTTGTTTCAACGTGTTCCTTGACCAATGGGAGGGCATTCAAAATATGGAGAGCAAGACGTTCCTTAGGCGGTCCCCAATGGGGGCTGGGAATCATGCCTTTCTCGAATGCATTGACATTAAAGAAGTGTTCGCCAATGTTACAAGTCACCGTGCCATTGGTTTCGTCCGAGTATGTGGGTTCCGGAAGAGAGTTCTTCTTGCAGAATAGAGCTAAGATCTCTGAGGGCAGTTGGTTGTCACGCCACTGGTTGATGCCCGTCAAATTGTAGGTTTGTGGAATGCCGCACGTTGCGCGGAACCTTGTGAGCAAACGATTCTCCAGATCAATAACTGTCTCTCCGATGACGTCATCACGCGTCAGCAGATCATAGTCGACCACTTTAATAATCAGATCCTTTTCAACAGGTATAACAGCTTTCAGTTGGAACATCCTGAAGGACAAGGATATTTCCTATAGTAAAGTATTTTCAATGGAACCTATGAAACTTGACATCAGTTCACGTACCTGCCGAATTCTGGGTTGAGGTTATTAGGGATGTAGTTGTCTTTGGAACTAATCTTCTGTTTCCCTAACCTTATTTCAACGTAGGGATCGGCCTAAACAACAACACAAAGCACTTAGTATCAGAAAATTTGCTTTGTAACAAGTTCTAGCTAATGAGTCTCACCAGACCGGACGGATCACTCGGTTGCAAGTCAATGGCCTTGATTACGTAAACACGAATAATGCATTCAACAGGATCAGAGCTTGGGACTTCGTTTTCAAGATATTTCAATGGCATTGGTGCATTTGGATCCTCAGGGAGAGAGTAGACCCTGAAGGTTCCCTTGAAATCACCGGCGTAGTTATCTTCATCGTCGTCTTCTTTGGATTTGGACTTTCCCCGATAGAGACGGAAGGTTGGGCAAAAGTCTTCGAAGTGGTAGAAACCCTCGCTGTCTTCCACAGGGTGAGGTAGGAACTAAGATATGGTAAGTAGTTGGCATTTCACATTTGTGTTTGAGGAAACCGAAAATGACCAATCAGGTTTAAGTTTGCTTTCAGTTGTTGGTGACTACCCATGTTTGTTATCGACAAGAGAAATGTATGCACCATACACTATGGAGTGTGAAAACAGGTAAAAAGTCGAATGACAAGTAGTTCGAAAGTCTTTCTAAGTGGCCTATTTGGCAGTGCTAATAGTAATACTTATCAACACATTCTATCCTAAAGACTCGCTACAACCAGCCGCTTTGGTAAAACACATCACCATATAAAGCACCGAAAGTAAGCCTAACAGTCTAAGTTCTAATTGAAAGGGAACGGTATCCACATCTAATGTAATCTAGTAAAATGCTAATTACACAAATATATTTAGGACGTATCGACAAAGGTTAAAATGTCAGTCATTATTGACAGGTGGCTGAGATAGATTAACTGTTATTTTTTCCACTTTCAGTAATTTGATGAAACATAAATTTGCTACTCATTTACCTTGAGCGTGTCGTATCCTCGTTCCTTGTAGTCGCCACATTTGGTCAGTTCACCCTTTGAGGCGTAGTATTTGGAATACCAATCAATATTTGGATCAATCTGTGACATGTCTACCTAAATACATACAAGAAGCATAGTTTCGGGTAAGAATACAAACGCACTAGAGGAGTCTGTGAGGAAATTAGGGAAGACGGTGAGAAGCGAGAGAGAAGAAAGGGGGAGGGTTTCGGAAAAACGCCACGGTGACAGTACAAAGTACACCCATCGACAACACGCACACACACACACAACTACAGCAGCTAACTTCAGTCAGTGTTCCTTTTCGAAAGAATTCAAGTGGATCTCCAACAGCAGTTGTCGACATTTCGATTACGTCATCAACACCTCGAAAACCCCTCGCCGACTAAATGAATGTTAAAAGTAGTGATCAAGATGGCTATCTGAAAACGATGTCACATAAATTCGGTGGTTTTATGTGCAAGAGCATGCGTACGTAGTAACACGTATTCTGACAACACCGAAAGTGAGATGAAAGTTTATTTTCAAGAAAGCATCGTTGGGATGTAATTGGTAAGCATGGGGACAAATTCAGTTCTAATTAGGCCAAGTCATTTCCAAAAAACCTGCAAAGTTCTTCTCGAACCCTCGAAAATGTGAATTACCTGCAAAGGTGGGTGGCTGCTCAGATATTCTTGTGGAGTTCACAAACGCCTTTAGTGACTCGTTATTACCTTCGACATTAAAAAAAACTCCTTTGGGTTTAGTACGTCATTAGAGTAATTTGGTGAAGTTCGAACACTACTTTGTTCGATGGCAATGGGTTACAAATTCAAACCCCGGTACGTTTAAAAATTGTTGGGTTCGAATGACCCACTAAACAGATCTCAGTGAAATAGATGTCATTCAACTGCTAAATTTAATGTCACGTCTACGTAACGCATTGACCTGACAAGGCTAACTGGCGGCCATGGGCATCAACTGCAACGAATTTTACACTGGAAGGATCCCCACTCGCGTGCCTCGTGAGCCGAAAGATAAACAAAAAACCGTGCGGCATGCCAACCAAGAGTGTGAAGGGGAAGCAGGAGTAACCTCTTGTAAGCGTTCCTTTTGGAAAAGGCGAAGCCACCATTTTGACCTCTCTTTGACATAGGGCTGAGCAGGCACAATCTGGCAAGAAGGAATTACGTTTAGTGTCATCGCGATTTTTGAAACTATAACGTGAACTTACCGATTTTAAAAGCATTTTAGAAAGAAACTGAAGGTTAATTTAAGGCCTTAATTACTGTTATAAGACCGCATTTAGGTCTATTTTAGTGAGCGCTAACAGCATGTCAGGAATACAACCCAAAATGGTTATGCCAACGTCAAAGCAACTGACTGTTGACTGCGCAGGAGGATACTTAATCGCCGAAACATGACTCGGTTGCCTGGAAGTGGATTCGCATTGGGCGAAATTGGAACGTTCGGGATTTGATGAATGACCCAAAAACAAATGAGCACTGACGAGGAAAATGAGATGAAGAAATTTCATGGACCAAGCAATATGATGGTCATTGTAATAGTGTTTCCCTTCCTTAAGCGGGCAGGGACTACAGCAAATGCAATCTCACTACTCATGTTATAATTTTGTACACGGTCTATAGTGGGGGTTGACAGCATTATTGCTGTGAATCGCGTTGATTCAAACTAGCCAATCCGATCACTCCAGCCTCAGACACAGGGTCCCCCTTTTTGCAGCATGTCGCCAGCCGCGCGGACCCTCGACTCCCCGCTCATTCATGTGGATATTTATCTTGGATTATCTTCACACTTAGATCTCGATGGTAGCGCATGTATGCCTCACACATCTGAGGTATAAATACACACGCACATTTTTTTCTTCATCGCGGGTATCAGGAAAGCGTAATCGGGTCAGAGTTAATTCAGTGGTCCCAGCGTGGTTCAAGACCACATGTTGGGGTCCACAACACTATATTGACATAAAAGTCAATTCTTTTGGTTAATCAAGTGGTGGTAATGGATGAATGAAATTTACTAATCAGGACTTCCAAGAGATAACGACTAACTTGAATTGCAGGATTTCGAGTCCATCGTGAAAGTGAAGGTGGTAAAATTGATTTTTTTAAATTTAGCGGTGAGATTCGACGCATCAAAAAAATTGCGTACGTCACTCTACCAAAAACGTTCGCACATGGAAGTCGTAAAACATAAATGCATCATGAGAGTGCCGATTAGTGATGAAATATGTAAGAAAGGTTAATTTATAGGAAGGTGAGATATAATGTCTGGGTTAAAAAAGTCAGTCGCAGACTCGACAGTTAACTTACGTCCTTCTGCGAATTAAAAAAAAACAATAAAATTATGGTAATGAGACCAGATTTTGAAAATATGCAGACAGGGAACAAAACAAGCTTTTTCTCTTAGCACAAAATTGAGGCAATGGTTTTAGCACTTACTAAATTCAGAGCTTTCGTCTTTAATTCATTTGGCTTCTCCGGTTGCTGTTCATGAATAAGAGGCGGTGAGCCGGCTCGACCGAGTTCTAAAAAGGAAAAAGGAACTGGTTAAAGTTTAAACAGAAATAAATGAACCGTTGTAGCGAAGTTCAACGCCATTGGCGGTTCACAATTTACGAGTTGGCAGAACTACAGAAAAAAAATGATTGTATCTCATTGTGTTAAAATGACGGTCACCAGCCTCCATGCGATCTAGTGTGCGCATAATCCTTTTGTACCGATAAGCAAAGTTTAACCTAACTGGAAAAAACTTTATCAGGTTCACAACCAAGACGAACTTGATTGGATATATATTGTGGCGACTCAAACAGGAGTCATGTGTCCTAGATACCATGGGAAGGAGCCGCTGGAATATTACTGTAGTTCAAAATGTAATCCGCTGATTTAGGGCTGGAGTATGAGGTCGACTTAGTCACCTCGTCAAGTTGATGCCTCATCACTGGTCAGCTGGTCACCAAGCACTTTGAGAAATAGGCACCAGCCCTAGACACGGACACTGAACTGAAATATTTGCGCCGTTAACACAATAAATTCAGCAAATTTCACTATTGTTAAGGACACAGGCACATGGCTCTGTAAAAGCTGCCCACCTGGAATGGCCTGGAGAGGATCGAAGGGCTGCATTAATGGAGGCACTCTGAAAGCCGAGATGTCCGTGAGTACGTGCGATCCAACCAGGGGTTTGCGTCCAAAAGCCCGATTATCGCGGACCCCAATGTTGATCGGTGGCATGTAGAGGGACTCCTTGGGGAGCTTTGCCACATGGAACATGAGGGGTTTCCTGAAGTTAGGTGTCCTCTTCACGTCTTTAATAACGTCAGAGCTGATCACTGTGCCACCGATCTCGATTTCCACCGAGGGCGAATTTACCGTGGCCAGCTGGTACTTGGCCATGTTACGAACTCCCCAGCAGAGCACCTCAATGCCCATTGTCTGAAGCTCAGGACGGATTCCCTCTGGTACCTCGTAAATGTCTGTGCCCGGCTTCAAGTTAGGGGGCGATGGGGGAGCCGACTCATCAATCTGTGGGACAAAAATATCGACAGTCAGAACAAATTGTCATCATGAGGACTCGATTACAAACCACGCAAAGGTGACCTTATTTGCTTTAATCAAACAACATCACCCAGGTGTCTATTGCTCACAGAATGACAATTCTTGTACACTATTTTTACGAAGGTAAGAAATGAAAGAAACGCCCGACAATAAAGTCCCCCTTTCCGTAACCAAATCAGCTCTGAAGGTGGTGTAACTCATGTAGACCGATATTTCAACGTACGAGCGAAGGCAGATTTACCTTTTTCTAAAAATAATCAGTTTGTTAAGTGATTTGTAGATATCCAATTAAGCATCCTATTTGGTGTTGCGGCTATGCAGGCACCTAAAGACACCGTTACCTTTTCCTCGAATTCGCTTCCGCACGTCAACCCTTAACAGTTGCAAGCTATTCTGGTCCAAGCCCTAACTGTACAGCCCCAAATCCATTGTTAAGTATTAAAAAAACTCTAAAACTTAATATTGTCTTAAAACTCAACAGTTTTGAATCATCAACATACAGTGAAATGCTTTTAAACCTCTATTTTCACCTAAACTACGTTCCAATATCGGAAAAATTAACAGGCACTTGACTATCGAAGATAAAGCAAGTGTAAAGACTCACCAGCATCAATTCAAAAGCCGCGAGAAGCTCGCCTCCGTCTCTGCCTTGTCTGGTGATTGGGTACCATTGAAGCATAGCTTTTTTAAATTCGGCAGGATCTGTGACAACTTCAGGTGTCATCTAAAGTGAAGAGGTCGAAAACATGGGTATTTTAGTGGGCGTGTGATGAGATGGAAGACCGATTTAAGCATGGGAGATTCAGATCTGCTGAATCGGCCAGACACCAACTGGCAACAGACGAAAATTACTGAATTGAACAGTTCAAGTACTGAGCAAACTCAATGCTTTGTGGCAAAACCGATAATGCCAATGGCTGAGGATCATGGGTTTGATTTCCCCCTTTGACTTGCCTGTAGGAATATCAAAATCTCTGAAGAAATTTCTTTCTTACATCAAGAGATTCCGAACAGCATGGGATTTCCTACCTTTCACACGTGTGTTATGTACTCGCGACTCTAAGAACCATTGCCAAAAGATAACGCTCCGATATTTTTGGAAAAAAACTTACACTGCACCGACCAAGGAAGTTGTCCGCACCAATTTGATCCCAGTCGAAAAATTCTGCTGTGATTCGTGGAGGGGAGTTTATAACGGATTCAAGGGTCCCGTAAATGACTACGTTCTCGAATATCAACGTCTGGTCCCACTGGGGACTGAGTGTTTTTTCAAGACGTTCCGACTTTTGTGATTGGTTAATGAAGCAGACACGGACATACGGGTCAGAGAAACCCGATTGGTCGGCTGCCAAGAGACCACGGGCTTGGAAAATGTAGGCATTCAGCTGCCATGTTCGCTTTTCTAAAATAGTGAAATAACGTTCGAATAGATGGGAGAAGGATTTCTTTGACCAGTTTTAGAGATTGACATTATCTTAAATTACCTGTAGACGCACCCTACCCGACTATTATGGGATGTTAACTTGTGCCCCACAGGTAAACTGCCACATACCCCAAGTCCTGCTTCATGCTTTAATTTATGCCGCAGATGATTTTAAAATCAGTTTACACATATGAACCCAAGCCCTTCTATTATAAACGCCCACTTCCTATAGCATGCTGAAGTGGGCAAGATCTGCCAACGGGACATTATCGTCAAAATGGAGCAAGAACAGTAGATATTTAACTGACATTCGTGACCTCACTATGTCAACGCAAACGCTACTCTGAAAGTTCAAAAAACTCAATTTACAAAACTCAGTTTGTTTTATTTTAAAAACTGCCCTGAAACAGGTCTTTCAGTGGGGCAAAATAATATATTCTGATCAAATAGACTGCTTACCTTCATACTTAATAAACACACGCGGGCTTGTCATATTGGTTTGCTAAAAAAATATAGGTCATAATAAGCGTTCTTTTTCGTTGATGTTGCTCTCAAACACCAAAGCTATGTGAGCTGCTGAGGGCTCTGCATCACAAGGAACTCCCAAACCAAAATTTCGAAGCCCGTCTGAATAGTCTAGATCAGCATGAAACATTAATATGGACTGCAAATGGAGAAAAGTGCAGTCGGGTTAGCAAAGCTGTGAACAAGGCATCAAGGACTGCAAGCAAAATCACGCGACCTTCTGATCTCTATAAAAACGATAAACTCTAGGTCGCTACTTGAACGGTAGATGAGACGCTGGTGAATCAGTGTCATGCTGTGATGCATATTAGGGAATACTTCGTTCAAGACCTTGTTGTGAGATGCGATTGGTGCAGGCTAAATGCCTGCTTATGAACCAAAAGTCTGATGCATCAAGCTGTGTCGAGGCAAACACACGGCAAACCCACACACTTACCTTCTTCTTTTTCTAAATTCAAGGAAATGTGGTAATGTTTAGGGTTATCATCATAAAATATGAATAACGAAATTCGCATTGCCTAGAGAAATCAGTTCACTTGCAATGACCATTATTTAGAAACGCTTGCTGTTTTACATGAGTATTATTGGACTATCTAGTCGTACAAGAGGGTTTCAATCACAAGAAATATAAAACAAAACTAGTAGGCATAGTGGCATTAGATTACAAAAATTTGGCCTCTTCGGTGAGAAGAAAATCCAATGATTACCTCGCCTTCTTGTGGAGGAAGTTGGAAGAGCCCAGGTACAACGACGCTGGGGTTCTCCGAGACAAGCTTCCTGTGCCAACGACGGCGCCTTACGTTGTCAGTTCCCTTCTTGGGAGTGTGGAACCTCTTATCAAAACTGAAAGCATACTCCCAGCCCTCGCTGGCAGCAGGTTTCATGGAACCCTACCGTAAGGAAAAAACAATGTAAATTAAGGGGGAATAACAGCAGCGCACATTTTGCAAGTTTGTAGGTCCTCCGATCCAGCCCTATTTTTTAGCTTGCAACATGCACTGCTTATCATTTCTTTCCAGTGCTCTGACGTCAACCTAATGACACTTTCCAAGCACATTACAAACCACAAAGTTCCAGCACTATATTTTTCTGCGTCACAGTTTAATTAACCACCAACCAGCGTGTCGTTCATTTTGTGTCAAACCAAGTTCTTCATACATCTGAGAGGTGAATACATGCACTTTGATGCGTTTCTTGACTGAAAGGACAGCAGTCTAGATTCGAGTCCGTTTACAAGAAAGGAGGTGATTCCCGGACTCATGCCTGAGGAGACCCGATTTCGTAAATGTCCTCAAACGAGCTTTTCGTGAAGAAAAATGAGAGTTCGTTCAAGGGCTAACTTGTTGCCAATGCGCTGCGTTTCTAATCGCCATTGAAAGCAGTTGCAATACTTGGAAAATTAGTGTAAAAGTGGAATTATCTTAAGCGGGACTTACGAGGAGGGACAGACGGGCGTCCTACCCAGGTGGAAAGTTGTTCATTAAAATGAAAAAGAGGCAAAATTAGTCCACTTTCAAGCCAAGTAAAAAGACTTCCTAAACAAAGCAGACAATTCCGAGTTCTGGTCGTTCCACTGATAATTTTTTGCTCGTCTGCATTTAAATGTTGAGATGGCATCACGAGCAGATGTGTTTAAATGCACACTTTCTCGCAGAAAGAACCGTCGATGTAAACTTCAAGGAGCCGTGGTGGTGTACCAATCAATGCTTTCATGTGCATGCCTTCTTTAAACGTGCCACGAACACAATTACCAGTCGCGACCAGACCACGTTTGCAAAGAAATAAAAGTCTATTCAAAATGTACAAGCACACACGATGCTGAATGTTAGACAAAAGCGCAAAGGCAAGTAAGCAGCGTAGCAGGATAACGAACCACGTTTTTTTCCATCATCTTGGCAACAATCTGCAAAAAAATGGTTTATTTAAAAAGTGTAGATTAATAGTTGAGAAACAGGAGAGTGGATTTTGGTATGAATATCTAGGTACATTGTAAATGCAGACGTGATTTTAGTTTGTGGACGGTTTTGCATGGCAGCATTTCACTGGCTACCCTAACGCGAGCTCAGTCGCACACAGAAGAGGGGTTTGTCTCGAATCCACTTGGAGGTATATGATTTAGCTAAAGTACTTTCAGATTTTATGCAGACGAACGAGATTAAGTGAGTTGGCAGCTGTAAGACTTCGACTTACATCCTCCTTGACGTTCTTGGTGGCATCCGAGAGTTTGCGACGACGGATCAAGCGTCGCCTCCGGCTCATGTGGTAGACCTTCTCAGCTGCCACATAGTTGCCCATCGACTGATCCACGGAGTACTCCCAGCCTTTTAAACGACGCGGATAACAATGTGTGTGAAAGTATGAAGGACTCAGATCAGGCAAATGGTGGTGGCTGCTAAGCTTCATTCGTCAAAAAACTTCAGATTGAACTGGTTCATCATCAGTTTGAAGCTGACATTTAAGGCAAGTGATCGTCACTGGCCAAACATAATTTCTTAAGATCCCTTAGTTTATTTAGTCGGCGTGATGTTTTCTGAGGAGGACTAATCAAAGGGCAAATTACTGAATAATACGCCAACTAAGAGATTAATCGCGAATCTTATTAATTCGGACATGTAATGACGATAGTTATGATTTTATTTCTACCGAAAAGTGATTTCAATTAAGATAAATGGCAGTGCGGGTATAATCTTAATTTAGTCCATTTTTAATCAATCAGCTGCAAGAGGGCTCCCACAGCGAACTTTGACTTTAAAATCACTAGAATGACCACGCACCTTCTTCGTCGCAAGGTCTGTTGAAGTCGATCTTCCATGCATCATCCTCCCAGACCCAGCCAGCTGGAAGCTCTATCTTATCCGGGTCCTCTTTTTCGTAGCCTTGAGCGTCTGTGTACGGAATGGGTGCCTTTTCCCAGGAGGTCATTGGCGAGCGCTTCTCGTTGTAAAAAACGTCCTCCAGGAAGCTTGTAGCTCCGGTATCCTAATGATAAGAAGTACTTAAATCAAAGAGTCCTAGCTTTTAATGGTCATCCAACTAAACAGAACGCAGGTTCAGTTTGCAACAGTCAGCTGTAGAGGCGATGTGAACGGTCCTAGAAAATCTCGACGTATCATAGACGGTGAGACCACACGGGATCACTTCTAAGGGAAGTCGCCTTCTTATTCAGTCTCTAAGCCGACAGCTGTGTGCCAATATCTAACCGGAGTAACTGACCTGCAGCAAATCTAAGGAAATTGAAGGCAATCACATCAAAAAGAGTTATGGCTCTTAGTGGCCTTCTGCTTCCAGTAACATTTTTATATCTTAAGGGTGATGCAAATCGTGTGGCCCTATAGTAAAAAATATTTTGTTAGTTTGAGGACACTCACCCTTTTGAACATGAGTGAAAAATCCTGGCTCACGAACCAGTCGCCATCCCACTTCCAGCCGGCAGGGGGAACGAAGTTTTCCTTTGGCAATTCCAGGCGCCCAGAGCAGTCGGTGAAGTTCGGTCGGGTCAACGGGGGGCGACGGGACGACCACTTTCCCACTATTTGGGCCTCATTTTCATACTAAAACGCATTTGACTTTCGTCCTACACTACTGTGGATAATACACAGCATCACTAAAATGCGTTCAGGCGGTGCACAAATGGTCTTGGGAAGAGTGATCTTGTGCATTTTTGTTTGTGCAGTAAAAACATAACATGAGGATTGTTTGTCACTGGAATAGTGAACAGAGACGACACAACTATCCTTTCTGCATTAAAAACTTAACTTCATGCCACCTATTTGGATTTCTACTGACCAAATTCACACAAGAAAAACAATAATCCTATTTACGCATTTTCAATTGAGAAGGAACTAATTCTAAACTATTACAGTTTTACACGCCTACATTATTTTGAAGACCGAAAAATGTTGTCACATGAATATGACAACCTCGAAAGAGCCCCATTTACCAAAGACGAGTGAATTTTAAAGGAAACGTGGACACCTGATTTTATCAAAATTTTTCTTTATAAAAATTGGAATCCCTAGATATGAATTCATAACCCTAAACTATTAACTTGGGATGATGGCAATATTCCTATTTTTTCACCAGATAGAACGTTTTCTTAACAGATCGACGCTATAACTCAACTTTTTAAGTTGTTGACGTTTGGTTGGTATTTACTAATCAGTAAGTCAACAAACACAATCCGATCACAAGAGCGCCATTGTTGTTTGGAACTCGGCCATTGCGACTTGCTACTAAAGTCGAATATTAGCTTCATGCAACAGAATGTAAGCAACTTGAACTCACAGTTTCAGCAACAACGGATATGACTCCGTTGTCTGAGCGTCCAGTCCAGTTACTTTGGTCTTTTTCCAAGCCCAACCACAGACTCATCCGTAATTGGGCAGGCAGCTTCCATTTGTCCGACATATCATCTTTGTCCAACGATGGTGGCTGTTAAATTAAATCGAAAATAATACGTAACATAATTACCGTTTGTAAATAAAGTTGCACGCAGCTTGCTTCCTCACCTTAAGAGTAATTGTCCGAACCGTGCCGCAGTAGCGTCCGCGATACATAGTATTTTCAGAAAATAGCAAATCATACGCCGGAATACGGAAGTAGGCGATTCTTTTCTCGGAGGCAATCATCCACACAATCACATCGGGCATGCTGTTTTGGGGCTAAACACCAGGCAAGTGTTAAGACTCGACGACTCAGACGACACCTTTAATGAAGGTTAAGAAGCTTACCTCGGTCACCATGTTGCGCAAAGTTGCCAGATAAACTTTAAGCTCCTTTAGGACTTCTTCGGCGCTTGTAGCCTCTTCGCGGAGCTTTACTGCCTGAGCTTTGAGGTTTTCCATGTCATCACGGCGAAGCTTCATCAACTTTTGATCCAGGGTATTTGGTGGAATACAGCCCTCAACCCATTCAGGAAGTGGAGTCCTGCAATGCAAAATGTCAACGATTTAAAAATTGCAGGCTAATTCAATAATAAAATTTACCAATAAAATATGGAAGGCCATTTAATATTTGAACCCTAACAGCACATTCGTTTTAACTTTCGACCAGACGCTAACTTAACAGCGATAACGACTGATTACCAAGAAAAGAGTCTACAGGGTCCGGGACGGCGACTTGGACTTAGCTCCTAGAAGCGACCTCACAAATACTAAGGACAGACGACTACATAGCAGAAAAACAGCAATCCGTTGGTGTTTTGCTTCTGCCACTGTACATGAAGGGGTTTCTTTATAAAATAAACGATTTAAAGACATCGTTTATTGCGTTTGAAGAACCTGGTGACATATAATTATGAGTGTGTGGCTTAGTAAATAAAAGTGAAAAAATCGGAGTTTAGCCTTCACGGTAAATATTAATGATAATACAAGGAAGAAGTTAGAACGTGGCTGCCGATTTTACAACTACAATTTTTCGATAAATAGGCGTAGATGTAAGTTTAGTCGCATTAGAGTGCTGAAAAGATTTTGACACCACGATGTAAAATTGGTTAATCAAATAATTAATCAGGCGACTATTGTAAATGGGCTGGAGAAATCATCCAAAATTGTTCGTATTTTTGTTTATTCATCCAATTTCTTTATTCATATCTCCCGTCCCACCTAAGCCCTCAAATCAAACGTCAATGGTCACCCAGGCCACGCATAAGTGGGTTCACTTTGGCGTTATTTTGCCTTTGAAACGGTAGTGCCCTCCACGAGGTCATGCTTTTGGTTAGAGGTGGACGGCAAAATGCGGGTTTGCATAAACGCCAAGTTCGGACAAATAAAAACGTGATGAGACAACCACCAGTTCGCTAATGACATGCTGTTTGGGCTGGCTTGGTTTAAACACTGTGTGGCAAGGGCGTGGCCTTACCACTGATCACGCCCCTACGATTGTGTGCATACAGGTAAAGCATTGCATTATTTGGGTCATGTGACTTACTGGAAGTCCAAAATGAGTTGGTCAAGAGTCGCGATGACCGTGCTTGCTAGGTCCTCCTCAGAAAGGTCGACTTTCATACTCACCTCGATGTTCTCGATGCCGTATTCCTAATAATGGGGAGGGTGAAAAGATCAAAGCCCTAGCCTGAAAGGATAGTGGTTTGTTATTGACAAACTGTATCGCACATCTAGACGGTGCCTCAAATTTCACACCTCGCTCATCATAAAATTGCCGGTCGCCATACCAGTTACTAGGTGAAATGGAAGAGCCGAACTGGTAAGCAAAGCGGATGTTCAATCAAACCTGTCTACTAATTTTAATTTTCAGTAGCCTAGAAAAACTCGGCGATATTGGAAGACCGCGCTGAGCGTTTCGATTCGCAACCGGTTGATTTTTCGATAATTCAACCATAAATTGTGGCTGGATGGCACTGAAGATCCACTATCCTCATTTCTTTGGCTAATTGCTACCACAAAAGAGCCGCTGCATAATTTTACAACTGTTTATTAACTTTTTGTGTTAATAAAGACGGTCACGCCATAGCCCACTCGGCCTTTAACACCTGAAAGCCACGATGTCTCAGACACAACCCCATTAGTGAAAAATAAGACGAAAGTCTTTCATTACGACCAGAGGATACTAATCTATGTGTTCATTTGTCCTAATCAGAACACAAGGGAGATTCTACTAAACCTCCCAGTAAAAGGTAGTGGGAACGCTGGTTGTAATCGGCTGAAAAGAAAGGCAACATGACGACCTCAATTTGGGCAAATAAAATAGTGATTCCTTGAATGTGCTGAATTGGCGCAATAAATCATCTCTAACTTGACTGGTCTACGCTAAATTTTCGGTTCGCATTATAAAAACAACCAAGGAAGGTGGTGATTTAGTCAATTTACGAAAAATTACCAAGTTGTCGGAAATGCGAGTAATGAGGTTGACTGCATAGAGTCGGTAGGAGATGTCTTCCCAATGGCTCTCGACGACAGTACATGGCTTGGAGTCGCCCCAGGGTAGGAAGTTGTAGTAACAGCCGTCGAACACAGCATTGGTGGGTGGTGTTGTCGACGCACAGGGTGAAACGGTCTCGTCAAGGTCATTACCATAGTTACCAATACTGACTTCAAAGTGGATTGGTGCATCGTCTATCATGATCATGTTGGCTTGGAAGAAGGCAGCGTGAAGCATGTACTTACGGCGACGCAGGTATTTCTAAAATTAAACCATGCATTGGGTTAAAAATGGCGTAGAGACTTCATCTTACCTACATTGTCTGTATTTACTCGGTTATTTTTCCACAAAACTTAAAGCTAAGAAATTTAGCTCGACAGCTGCGAATTTATGGTTGAATAATAGGATCAAGAAAAATTTCGCGTTAAGTATAAATCAAATCTTCAGTTTCCTTAACTCTATGGAACACTGTCGACTATCTTGTGGGTCGTAGTGAACCCTTTTAATGTTGACAAACTAGAAGATTTATTTTCGTCACCAAACTATTCATTAAGCCATATCTAAAATTAGCATGAACATAAATAATACGTCTGAATTGGCAGGACTTCAAATCGCAGACTGTAGCTGGGAGCTGATGCTAAAATTCCATAGTGGTGGAAAAACAATGATTCAGACGAACTCACTGGAGGATAATGAGCCATGTGCAGCTAGTCAATGAACCAGGATTTGGTGTAAAATCCCTTAGCTTATGATGTTTGTCTGGCAAGTGAAAGCCATATTTTACTGTTCCAATTTTATCGATCAATCATGTACTCTGACACAAGCTCGGACCGCTATACGAGAAAAGCACCCGCTGCATGTGTTCAACATCGCGATGAGGAACATCATCAAAATTAAAACTGAGCAGCACTGCAAAAGGGCAGCCAAGGCTGTACATTTTACTTTAAATTTTACACTTGCAACGAGTACGAAATCGAATCACCTTTGCAAGTCGAAACGGTTCGGCAAGCTAGCAAGTAGAAATGTTAATATCCATCAAAGAAACGCGTGGCCAGAGTAATGGTTGACATAAGTGTTTAAAACTAGCCGATTGTGTTAAAGCAGACCACAATGCGTTGTGCATTTCGAATGCACGCTCTCTACACAAGGGCTGCATCGTCCCGGTATGTGGACGACCAATTAGAACGCCACCACCGATTAGGCTAAAGACCTGCGCGTGTTTACAGAACCGGCAGTCAGGGAAATCGGACCTCTATGTTGGGGCATTAGTTTTGCCAAAGCGGGCTCGAAAAGACACTATTTTGATCGAAGTTGCAGGAAATCTGAAACAAGCCGTACACCTTGGGCCGATAAGATTCGCTCGTGTTCATTCCCATCCTCGTATAAAAAATTCACATGCAAAATTGTGGAATATATGCAGGGAAGTGTATTTTTTCGAGTACCCTAATAGTTAAAACGTTTTCTACACATTACTTACTGTGATTCGAATCTTGGAGTCCTCGGACATAGGGGAGACTCCACTGGCTTGCATTTCGTCAAATAGCTCTGTCTGAATCTCACACAAGACACGTCCTCGGTAGGCACAACCTTCTCCTTTGGCCAAGTTCAGGGGCTCGAACTTGTCTGGCATGTCGGAGAATTCACGTGGTGAGCCGTAGAGGTTGATGAAGGAGGGACCAAACGTGGGAAGAAAACCTGGAATGTAGAAATGGGGGTGGCTGCTAGTAGGGGCGGACAAATGCGAACAAGGAGATCAGTGCGGGTGCAATGAAGCGAAACCAGACAAGCGATAAGTGCGAAAAAGAACGAAAGCGAAACAAAAGCACTGTTAAAAGGCTTGAGTACGCTAGATGTGCATAAACCAAGTTTGAACACTCCGTGAGACACGAAAGAGACCAGTCGGATTTCCATTCGTTCACAGAGCAATACACCTTTCAGCCTCCTCGAACACAAATCCGGATATCATCACCATATGTCAACATATTCTTAATAAAATCTCTAATTTTGAGGACAGAAAGGTAGCTGCAACTGCAAAATTATCAATTCCATGATGGGATAATCTGTTTAAATGCCTTGTAAATTGTTTGCCTCCACGCTTCATTACGCTAGTACTTTCGAAATACAATCAAACACCTAAAATTTCCGGACGTCCCATGATGCGGAACTCTAACATAACTTTCAAGTAAGAAATGAAACCGTTTACCTAATCACATGCTTCTGTTCCCTGTAAACATAAACTACGATTAACACTTACCATCATCTCCACTTCTAGTTTCTATCGTGGAAAATTTGAGATAGTAGCAACCAAACGGGTCGCTTCGCCCCATTCTGTCCCTGTGCATTTTGTACATGCTAGTACAGCAAAATACTGCAGAATCCACTGCTTTATGAGGCACCTTTCAAAAAGATAAGCTCCCCCGATGTACATTTGCGTAATTTAAATTATGCCTGGGTCAGTCATATTTCCACACTGTCCAAAGTTTTTCTCGACTTCAGATTTTGAAGCGAAACCCGGGCATTTTGGTTGAGTGGCCTACAATCACTCAATGCCACAGCCTGGCGAAAGGGACTTTTGTCAGTGCGAGGCGATACAGAAGGCCCGAATCTCCTCCCGGTTTGCGGATATTCACTTACCCAAGGGCACAAGAAACTAGCGAAAGCAAGCTTGCACAAACATCCGATATGAGCACGAGAGGTTGTTGCTAAACACCCAAATTTATTAAAGGTGTTAGTTGCTGCTGGTCACTGGACAAAAACTAACCATCATCGCCTTCTCTCAGTGCGGAGATTTCTGAAATCTTGATGAATGTTGTCGCGACCGGGTCATTGGCGCTCAAACGATCCCTAAAATGTGTTTATAATACTTAGAAGCTGGCGACGCCTAGCCATTTTGGATAACATGATTTGCTTGATGGAGGACTCCTGGGGGAAAAGCGTAATTAAATATGTCTCGGGTGGTGGTGCTTATCCAAACGTTCAAATTCAAATAAGAATTTTGTGGATTTGTACAGTGGTACTATTAAAATACTACGTACAAGTAGGTTGATGAAACACGGTAAACACGCAATTGAAGTTGAAATATGCAAAGATTCCAGAACCTCTCAACTACATCGTGGGATGCTCAAGACAAAAAAAAGTGATTTCCTGTCAAATTGCATGGCGATCTTATCATCATTTCTCTTGGTGAAGAATTTGCCTTTCACAACATTACGGATCAACTCATTCTATTTAATGTGCAGTGAGTGGTGCCAACTTGCGCCACCATCGCTCAGGCTGACGGGCCCAGTTATGGGCCTTTGTGTACACTTCGCTCCCACGCCACTCTGAACACACATCTTATCACCTGAATTCCATTGGTCAACAACCCGCATTGGTCATGTACCTTGAATGCGCACACACGACTAAACACGACAGAATTGAGCCATCTAGTAAACGGGATGCAGTCGAAATAAGTCGTGTGGTGATAAAGATGTCAATAGTCTTTTTGTGGAATACCAACCCCAAGATTCCGTGTTGCTACACCTTACTGGCTCGCAGGATAGAGAACTGAATTCATTTATTGAGTCTTAAAGCTATCTCCTGACTACTACTGAGTTAATTACATTATCCGAATACGTGTTTGCATAAAAATAGAGTGTTTTAATGTAGGGTGCCATAAAATCACTTACCAATCGTAGACGGTTATCGCCATTTTGTCGCACATTGAAGGAAACTAAATAAAAATAGCAGTTGAATTAAACGGTACAAAATTTGCATAAACAACCAGCACAGATAGGGAACAGCAAGTCCTTCGCTTAAAGGCAGTACGACTGTCTGAAAAAAATAGTGGCTGCGTAAGAGATTTGTCAAATTGAAGGTTCTCCAATTGCACATGGTCAAGGTGGAAGCAGAGAGAAGTTGGATAACGCAAGTGAACCGAAAGGCTTTGGATATACTAATCCTTGACCAAAATATACTTCCGAGATAGTATTGCATCCTTCAATGAACCTCAAACATTTATTACTTGAAAAACCTTATTCACAACACAATTCCCATTTTAGAACTGCTACTTTAGTTCGGCCTCAATGCAGGTCGTTCTCCATTTGAATTCAGAAGCAGAAAGTCAAGAAACCATTTAATGACATCAAATAGCCTTGTAACTTGGAAAATCACTTTTAAGATGAGCCATTACCTGTACTCCCAGTTTTAATTCTTCATACCACTCTGGATGGTCGGTGCCCTCTTTAGTGGACGATTTGACCTACAAGCGAGAAATGTGTGTTGTTAAAGTGCAGCTTGTTCAACCCAAATAATTATTAGAATTCGATCCCAAGGACAGCACATAAGGTCGATCCCATCATCCAATCACCCAGGTTTCATAAAGTTTTTTTATGTCTTCACGAAATCTGTCGTTAACCGAGAAACGGAATCGGTTGTAATCTTTCCAAGGACTTACACTTTGATATTTTCTAAGTATAAGGTAGAAAGTTATTGCCTTGCTACGTAAAACCATGATAAAAGCCTCTGCCGAAATTGCTTGATAATCGAATATTCGGTTCCGAAGCCTCACTGTCTCATCGACCCATGGCTAATTGTCAACGAAATCTCAGTAAAACTTCTCTGAAATGGTTTATTTGATGTTGATTTGTATCTTACTCTCCCCAACTTTCCACTGGTTCCCACTAACAAGTGAGTAGACGTTCGTCTCGCGTTCTGTTCACCGCCTCGGCTTTGCTGATTTAACTTGACAATTTAAACGCGCAACCGTTTAGTCACCCACTAAACAGTCAGCTTGAGGTAATCTTGTTTAAACAAGGTTCTATTCAGCTGCCTCCGCTGACAGTCTGCTAAATGCGAAATCACAGGCACAGCAGAATGGAATTCCGCAACTGTTGCTAAAACCACTTAATGCACACGTTTCCACAACCACCCTCAACTGTCACGAGCCACGAAATAGTCTAACTCAGGTGGAGTTTTAGTGAAACCATAGAAGATTGGTTTGAGAACCCTAAACTGTATCACATTTCTAGCTATCCAGTAGCTGAAAGGTAGGTATTCGCACACTTTTGTCAGTGTGTGACTCAACACGCAAATCCTAAACACAAGGTAAGTCACCCACTCCATAAGTCTACTCACCATCTCATCGTGAGTCTGGCAAGTGAACGACACTGGTGTGTTCAGTGGAAGTGAAGTGGTATCATACTTTCGTGAACTAAGGCTTTACAGGCGACTAACTAACGCAACTTGGAGGCCAAGAATGGAGTCGAAAGTGGGCTGAGTCAGCCATATCTCTATGCCCCTGAAATTGCGATATTTCTAGAGTATGAATGAATAATATGGGTAACTTAGAATTAGATGGGAAGCAAAATCCGGAATTAGGACCGAATTCGAAATCTTACATTTTGCCGAAACATTCCTCTAATTTGGGATTTGTCCATACTAGCAACCAATTAACAACAAACTAAGTGGGTTCGATTTAGCGACTTTGAATTGGTCCCAGCACTGTCCCAGATATGCCTAGCAGTTTCAAAAATGTGTAATTTGGGTCCAATTAATAATCAAAACAAGTAATGACCAATAAATGCAGCACTTTAGGCTGACATTGCGTGCACCTAAAGGGTCTTCAAATGTAGAGGACTTCCTTGCGGTCATAGGAAAAGGGCAATAAAAGTTCAACTTGCCTGTTTCCCGGCAAATTTCACGACAGTAAAGGGATCGACGAATTCTTTATCTTCATTACCGCCTTTGAAGAACTTTTTGACACCCGCAAACGTCTTACTGTCCACTACAAAGAAACCGGACAAGTGCACTCACAATGAACAGACTTCATGTTGTCGTGTGAACTTATTTCGAGGAAAGTGAGAGGCTTTTCTGCGTTGAAGTCACGAAGCCATGGACATCTCGTTTGTGCGAACCACAGTGCATACTCTGTTTCGTTGTTGCACTGCATTTATCGACGGATTATGATTATGTTTATGAAGGGGCAGACAACGTTAATGGCAGGGCATTGAGGAACGGACTTAACAATGGCTGAGTGAACTTGCTTAGACGTTATTGAAAAATTAATAAGGACTATCACGAATTACATTTGGATATACACTGGTGAATACACTTTTAGAGCAAGATTTGAAACCACAACTAAGACGACTCATTTTTGACAAGAATCTCTAAGTAGACATATCTGATGCAAGTGTAATTTTGCATGTTGTATTAAACGAGTAAAACGGTGATCGATGGTAGCAGACGTGCATTATAGAAGGACATGGGAAAACCACCGCATATTTGAGCGCCAGGAAAGAGCAATGTGTGACGTCAGCAGTCGTTTAATCAAAAAATGATGTTTCGATTTCAACTTTACGAAAAGACCATAATTTCTGAAAATTTCTATCGAAGCTGGCAATGACTGGTTCGACCTTGTTTCAATTAGCTCAAAATATCAAGTATACATTGGGAGGGAATATTTGACCGTTAAAGAACCTCAGATGAAATTAGGCGCCTCTTTAACGGGGAAAACGTACTTCTGGGGTAATCTTCTCCCGTATACAGCATGAGTTTTACAACTGCCGGGCGAAGCTGCACACCTGCAGGCCGCAGGATATTTCTGAGGATTGAAAAAAATAAAATGAGAGGATTGTGCGTTCCTTTATCCACGGACTGAAAGTACAATCAATAAGCACCTAAAATGTTGATTTGTGAACTATTCTACTTTCCAACCCCAAAATTATATTGATGAATCCCAGAAAGTATTTAGTACTCGACATAACATCGGTCACGTAATAATTTGCGAAATGACTTGGGAGATTACATATGAGGGCCCGATTTCAATGTCTAGTGATTGAGATCTTAAATAATTTAGAGAAATGAATGATTGAAAAGTCGTGACTAAAAGAAGCCATAAACATATTGCAAGTCTTTGAGTAAAAAATTATTCCTTTCTATATTATAATACTGGGTTTATGGACACATACAGCATTTAATGTGTTTGCAGTCTGGCCTGCTTCCGTTTAAATAAAAGGTTAGATTGGCAGTCAAGAAACTAAAATAGGGGCAGTTAAAGATTTGAACAAAGACATACGCCTCTATATCTTCATCTTCTGTGTCACCCTTTTCCTTGAGGTCCTAAAACGAAAAGGGAAATCAACATTGGTAATAAATTGACTTCGATTGTGAAAGAAAACAGCCCTTTAGTAATAACTGCTTTGGTGTCTATATTCTGTGTTTCCAGCATTTGAACTAGGATATGAGTATCGCCATAGAAAAGGAGAAGGTGGACAATAGTCGATTCGTCCAAAACAATGGATCGGTTTATTTTTTATGCTTCCATTTCACGCAAAAAAGCCTAAAATTAGTCATATAAATCAATCATCTTTTTGAAAATGACAATCAGCCCGATATTTACATAAATGCCAATGAAAGGTCCTGTGAACTGACTGCTTGCATGCGTTGATACTTACGATCCAAATATATTTAATTTTTAATCTGCGATTTCGGGTGTTATAGACTTGTTTAACGACACGAAACTATAATTTAAATTGAAATTATCTTATAAAACGACTTTTTGGTAATGTCCCTAGGGTTAGGGTTAGTTCTGCTTGGTTCCCTTTGTCTTTTATCGTTAAATCAAGTTTTACGGTGCATGAGCGACCTGTAGTTTCGCAAGAGATATAAAAGTATGGCTGAAAACACTCTAACACCCGAAAACCAGAAGGGAACTAATTGAAGTTCTTTTGTGAATTTATACATTAACTCTGCTTTGAGCTCGTGATGAATTTTAACGGATGTGGATAAAAATTGAGGAATCAATCAACACCACATTAAAACAACCTAGCTCTCCGAAGACACAATCAATACTTTACCGTTAGTTTGGAGTGATACCCCTTGAAATACATCCTCTCACGCCTGGCCACCGATAATGTCCTTAAAACGCTCGCTATGAGACACTCGGAATCATGGATAGTTTCCACGCAGCACTTACGGGGGCCTCATCGCCGGGACCCAAAATGACAATGGCGATTTTCAAGTAGCCTTTCGAGCCGGCCTGGGGGTCTTCAGGCTCCCCGAGAAGGAGCCACTTGTGCAAGATAGCATGGCCGGGGCTTTCGTATACGGAGGCGAGGTTCAGCTCAAAGCTTCCGATGAAGGCGTCAGAACGAAGTTTACGCGAGTTGTACACCCCAAAGACGACTGCCTGCTCAAACAATTCGGCCGGGGATTTGTGAAAGTTGAAGAAAAACGTCTGTCCCCAGTAAGGTGTATTCGTCGACTGTTTGGCAGAGGTAATCTGCGTTTGGTTCCAGCAGACGACCTTGCACAGCGGTGATATGTTTCCGCCGGGCAGTTGACGGGCTTGATGAATGCGAACGCGAACCTAGTGAAAAAACAAGAGCCAATTAGGATTTGGGATCACTTCATCATGCTCATAGTTTAAAAAATTCTGAAATTCCAAGATAGTATGAATCAATAAAAATGCCGAAAATTCGTTTCTTGGCAAAATGGCCATCATGTGCCAAATATAACCGGAACTTTCTCAGACGACACAGCCAGTTTTGAAGGTACTTTGATGGTTCACAGATCACGAAAATATCCGGCCCTTGGAAAACTGAAATGCCTACTGAGTATTTGTGACCCTAATTAAAATGCTCCCAGTTTTGTTCTTTAAGTTGGTACAAGAATTAGAGTTAGGTGAATTTGTACCAAGTAAGTGCGAGTCACAAAATAATGAGTAAAATAAAAGCGATTTTTGCATTTGTTTGCATTTACTGTTCAGATAAATTTATTTTAACATTTTCATGTTTTGCCTCTTGTAACACTAGCCACCCATTACTCGTCGTCTAGAGTACGGCAGACTTAAAGAAGCATATTGGTATTATTTTGATAGCAGAATGCTTAAGTTCATGTCTCCCACTAGAATATTCGAGTTAATTTGATTTAAAATGGATAGCCTGCAATAAAAATCGGATCTCAACATGAGGAATGTAAAATGAGTGTGACCGCATTAATTTATTCAAACCACCACGGGCTATTTTGACCGTTTAGTGGGTGAACTGCTTACGAGATCGTGTATTTAAGCTACGGAGCAACTTGTGAGGTTTATGATATACGCAACAGAAATGTTCAAGCTGTCATGGTTTGAAAGGCATTTTACATTTTTTGAGCTTCGCCAGCACCCACTGAGACCGTCTAGTCATTTTAACACTACTAAGAGAATTCTAAATAATAATGGCTGCGAACTTTAAGCCACCCTGAACTAAAACTGTAATTAAGCTTGTAATAATAAAATGAAGTGTATCAGAACACTGAAAGGAATATATACTTGTTTAAAATACTAATACTTGCATTCTCGTACAAAATCTTAAACAAGCATTGATGTAATTTAAGTAATATTCAGTACTATCCTACATTTAACCAAATACAGCAATTATCGAAATTCGCTGATCTTACAATGCAGCAAAACATCCAAAATTAAAATGGGATTTAAACTGAAACATATTCAATAATTTTACAAACTTTTAATGAAGTCTATTCATACTAAAATGGCAAATTTCAAATTACCACTAACACACAGCACCAGCCACATCGACAACAGTTGAACGCGGAAATTATAACAGCGCCTGGTTCTACACGAATAATATTGGCGGCACCGCGCTATTGTTTGTCAAGTTTACTTGAATCCAGCATGTACCCCTTGGTGAATTTTGAGCTAATGTGAGATGAAAACAACTGCACGCATTCTTAAAAGTTCATTTGGATTAAAAAAACATTACAATTGGCAGGTGGGACTACACCAAATAAAAATTTAACCAGACAGTTAATTACAGAATGTAGCTCTCCAAATCTTTAAATTGGCTAATCTAACTGGAAGAAACACGCTCGCCCCAAAAGATTGATGAATAGCATCACTAAGCATCAATCTATCATAGATACCCACGTTACGTCCTTATGGATGGACAACGAGGTCTCCCCGCGCTTCTCACCAACCTAGTCGTGTCTGTTTGGCGTGGTAACACTGCTCGTGCTTTTAGGAAAACGGGAGGTTTATCAGGAATACTTGGTGCTACGGTAAAACCAGAAGTAATCATAAGCAATGCAGACACAGTTGAAGTCAGCAACTGTGATCGTATTCATATAGCAGGTATGGGTAATTCAGCTTCACTCTAAAGCCTCAAAGAGGACATTCGACATGAAAAAGGGGGTTAAAATATCAAATTAAACTACCTGATTTCTACCCAACTTTGTGAGTTATAGACACGTAGGTTTAAACTAACATTCTAAATTTTCCGTGACTGCCCTTTTAAACAACTGATTCAATCAAATCACTGTCGGAGCGTCTGGATGTCATCATCCATGAATACTATTGACTTTATTTTAAGTGCACTGGATTCTCCCCTAAGTCTTTGCAAATCTAGGGCCTGTGGTTTACCTCAGGACACTGCACACAGGTAAAATTTATTTTCGTCGAGACGAATCCAATTTTATGATGTTTATTTATTAAAACTTATGACTGATGAAGGAGCCATCTAGAATTTGCAGGCACAGAATGCCGAATTAACGACAATTGTATCTTTTAAACTATAAAGAGAAACCAGTTAAGAGACCTATGGACTTAATAAATTTGAAAATGTGTCCATCAATATTACTGATGTAGAAATTAGGATATTTGATGTGCAGCACTTTGGCAACAGACTTGTGAGAGTCGCGATAACTTAGTTATGTGGCATAGATGTGATTAGGATACACTTATGCCAGAACTGTCGCGTTACTACTCAAGTGGTTGAGTCAGTGAGCATAACAAACGCATCCACATGCACTGATCAATGGCAAGTCTAACATGGCACCTAAGCACACATACATGCACAAACGCACACACTAAACTGGTGATTCAGAAGCTCTTTAAGCACACAAACGCGTCCTGTTTTGAGTGTGTTGGCTTCCTGAAACCCACATACTCCGAAAATCCCCGGGTTTGTACATGCACACAAGAGCCGTTGTGCAGGGTTTTAAAACCAGCAAAAAAGCAGAAGAGCAGTTTGCTTACTCAAGTGAAATGTGGGCTCAGCTTTCGCCCCCTACTTGTATTTTCACAATGTTTGAGAGCTATGCCAACTATGAATATTACGAGTAGACTTAACTTAACAGTGAAAGCGTTTGCCTTGGCAAATCGCTCTTGTCGATCTTGCTACCTTTGACAGTGACCAACCTGAAAGCCAAGCCAAAATGAACTGACTTTAATTCAAGCCGATTTAACCATGGGTATACGTTGTACACATAAAACTGAAGCTTAAATGTTAAAAACTTAAATATCTACTATCCTGTACAGTTTTCACAAGCCCGCAACATTGCTCCGTAAGATTGATCGTAAGTTAAGAACTCTGTCTCAGCAAGTATTGTTTTTGGAGCGAAAGGTGGCTAATTTTGGAATGCGTCGATTAGAAGATGGTGAAATTATTGCTCTAAATTCGGTCTCATAGGAGCTGATTTCAATTGACTTTGAGTAGTCATAATAAATTAATCAAAGAAGACAAACTTCTTGCTTGATCCTACAGATTTAAGGCGGGTTCCAAGATATTTGATCAGTATTTACACAACAGAATTTGCGTCGTATTGAGAGAAGGCAAGAAAAGTCTCTATTTACATTTTCAGAAAATGGTATTTACCAAAATAGTGGCTGCATATCGGTTGTAACACGGCAGTGTTTCTCAGTCGTTAACATGTTTACCATGCCATTCGACCCAGCCCACTTCAGCTTACAGATAATGGTGGTATCGGCATTAAACACCTCCCAGGATAACGGTATCTGCCTTTTTGAGACAGGCTAACCACAAGTTTAAGAAAATTAATTTATTAACACTCTTGAGTCACACTTTACTTGTCTTAAGGAAAATCGTTCTTTTCAGAATCACTGTTCAGAAGTCATTTAAAAAATAATCATTTATTAAATGTTAATGGGAATTAAATTTGGCCGAAATCAGCAATTAAAGCGACAAGACCACTAATTGTACCTCGGGGCGATCAAGTCGAAAGCTACTACAGGAGCCCGGAGGTTTAATGTAAACGACATTTTCATTTTAAGGTGCTAATAATAAACAAACTGCTGAAAGTGAAGACCTACGCAAAATGGTTTACTACGCCAACAGAAATGATCACGCGAGAGAAAGGGTAACAAATGCCGTGATGGCAGCCACACTAGCTACTGGTAGTTTATAACTCATTACTATATATATTTCATTACTTTTTAAAGTCTAGGACTAAAAACAAATAGATGCTTGACAACATGAAACGAAAACTACACTGTCAGTAGACAAGCGCATTCTCCCAAGCAAATATCGTTTTTGCTGCTTTAGAGTCAAGTCATTAATGGGTTTATTGATTGACATAAGTTACCATAAAAATTGGCTTGCAGAGTTTTGTGAGTCAACGTTTTTTTACAGGAAAATGGCATCGTACACAGAATACATTGTTTAAAACATTTTATTAAAGACAAATTAGGGCAAGTACGGGTTGACGCTTGATTTTAATTAATGCCTAAAACATACTCTGTTAAGCTTACTGAACTGCGTAATAATACAAAAAGTTTCCTAATGGATCGGTAGTGAAACCTTTGTGCAACAAACTTAATAACCCTGATAAGCTAGGAGGCTAATAGTCGCGTTGTCGCCGACAGGAAGATGGTCCACAGACAAAAAGCTAAACGTATTTGATAGCGCATCGTGTAAACTCACAAATAGTGCGTATTGAAAGGAAAGGCTTTACAGCCACCTTGCACCTTGCAGTTACAAGAAACGTCGGTTGGTAAAAAGACAGGTTAACGCAGTTAAAATGACAGGAAGAGGGAAGAGAGCACAGTCAAAAAGAAGCAAATGATGGAAAAACTTGCCTTGAAACCAAAGATTAAAAGAGGCACTGTGAGCAATCTGATTTGGCCAACTCTTCATAAGACTTTGTTGCGAGTGTGGTCGGAATACGAAATTAAAGCCACGCAAATGAAAAACAATACTATATTAGCGATCCACTATTTTTCTGATTAGGAGTGAATTTTTTTATGAACGAAACAAAAGGCCTGGCATACCTGGAAGTCCTGCGGTTTCGTCGAGTATGACTTGTCGACAGCGGGCAAGAGATCGGCGACTTGTTCATTTCCACCAACGGCGCCTCCACCGGGAGCACCAGTCCCACCTTTACTGCTGCCGGCTTCAGCACCGCCCTCACCAGATTCTGCATAAGTCAATACAGTTGCACTTTAGCACATGGATATACTTATATTCATATAACAGGGAATGTAGAAACAGCTAAGATACCAAAGGTACTCCGAAAAGTAAAGCCGCTCACTAGATAAATTTACTCTAAATGTGGCAAACTTGAAGGCAAAAGTTAGAAAATGACTTGACTCAAGTTGCTGCTGATGCTGCCGAATGCGTCAATCGATGGTCAATTTAACAAACCAGAGGAGTGTTATTTGGTCTAGAAGAGCATTTCTACCACATTTACTTCCTATAGATGCACATTCAAGGCCGAATTAATTAGTATCGACAATGCATAAACAAAGTTCAAAATGATTTTTTGCAGTAAATGGTGAGGCCAAAGTTCGTCATCGTTTTCTGATGAAGACGACTGAATTAGTTAATGAAAGTATTTACATTTATGTTCCTAATTAAATTGGTATTATTCAAAATTGGTGAAAAGGAAGTCTCCCTATTTAGTGTATTGAGTCACTTCTACGACTACTTACAATTTAATGCAAATAAACTAGACTTTTAATCGCTTCCTACCAATATGGTTTATTTTTAGTTAATACTTAGGTGTCACACGTTACCTTTGCTGGGAACATGTTGCAAAAATGAAATGCCTAGATTAAGCTCTTGGTTTTTATAGACAATAAGGTATAGTTTCGGCCTCTTGTCTGATGTGAACTGTAAGAACTGCAAAATACCATACTGCAGATTGTGCACACACGCACACACACCCATTCACTTATCTTGAGGGTGCTTGAAACCAGAGACGACGAGAACGAGCACAACATAAAAGATTGGTTCTTCGGGTGGTGTTTACCTGGGGAATTTCTAAGACTTGTGCTCAGTTAAGTTGTTGTTTTAAAATGTGTAGTTAAACATGTGCAAAGTTCATCGGTCTCAGTTCTAAGGGTGGTCCGCCCGTTAACAAGCCAATTATGTGCTCTGAGCATCAAACTGCGGAAACCTTAGGGGTGCTGGTAGAGAAGGTGCAAAAAGTAACCTAATTAGAACTACATGCACCGAAGACTTCCTCCTACATCAGTTCATGTGTTCTAAGGAAAATCATTTCTTTCAGCTATTAGTGAGTAGATGCTGAGGTAACTAATAAAAAGTATGATTGTGATGCAACCCGTTGCAGTTGAATAAGACTATTGACGAGGGTACTGAGTAAGTTGGCACGACTTGAGTTGCCGAAGGGGTTATCAACTCCAGCTTGCAGTATGTTCCCCGTTGGGATGGTTCACAACTGGGATTTGTTGCTAAAATCCGCATTTCAAGTAACTTATTTCAATAAGCAACGTGTAGAACTTGGCACATTACTTCTTTTACTGATCAACAATTACAAAATAAGAGTGATTTGCGTGGCTATGCCTGTCTGTTAGAGTTGTTTTCAACCAGAACCACGAATGCATGTCATTTTAAAAAAGGCGAAGTCTAATTCGTACGTAGCTCTGTCACTTGCATCATTTTGCCCACCTCTGACACACGAAACGGTACCTCACGCTTTTCGCTTAATGCCAAGCATTAGCTACGTAAAATGCCATCGATGTTAGCAACAGATAATCAAACAAGCAGGCTCTGGCAAAATGTCGTCTGTGTTGGAAAAAGAGTGTATTTCGTCGACTAATAAGGTTCTTCTGCGTTTCTCTCCTGCCTAAGTCATCCAACACATTCTCCACTGCCAGCATTGACAAATGCAAGCATTTCCGTTTTATGTCACTAACGGCAGAGCATAATTGGACGAGAAAGTGGGTGTAACAATACGTTCATTCTCGCTTCAACGAGCAACAATAGACTCGCGTGCTAGGGACGGGGACTATCGGATAAATACCAACCACTTGAAGTCCAAAGGAGGACTAATTCACATGCTGGGCTTTTTTTACAAAGTCCATAGTCGAAAAATAAAGCAAACGATTACGTATTTGAACACATAACGTGGTGGTCCGATGTAAGGTGCCTTAACTACAGTCCTATAGCACGATGTAATTGATGGTAAATGGTTAACAGAAATCTCGCCCCAGAGATGGAGGGGAGCAGTGTGAACACAAAAAGGGGACACTTGGCGAGATGGCCTCCGGCAACTCTGATAGTTAAGATGATCATCTCAGAAAGCATGTGATGTCATAAATTTCCTTCGTCCGTTGAGTTCGAAAGTTGAGCTGTCATCGTGACTCAAAAAAAGATTTCGGACGTTTTTCTGGGACAGTGGTTTCTCCTACACTTTATTCTGAATATATGGACACTTTTGACATACTCAGAATGACATGGCTCTTCAAAACACCCAGGAGAAGTGTGTATTGTCGGTGGTTAGAAGGGATTGCGACAGGATTTAAAGAAACAATTTTCTTTAAACTATAAGTTTTAATACAACTTTGTCCATGAACATTTAACGGAAAAAAGGAACACAAGCTGTGGTTGACCAGATCTGGGTGGGGTCGTGTAAACCTTTCTCTCATACGGTTAGCAAACCCTTTTCATCATCGATCTGCAAAATTTGAACTACTGCCATGAAACAAACTTAACTCACACCAACTGTAGTGCAATAAATAAACACTAGTCAATCAATTAGAAATACCCAGATTGCGAGTCATTTGGGGGCAGAGTTACCTAGTAATATCACTAACATACTAAATTAACAAAATAAGTTTAGTCACGGTCGAATGGAGAAAGCTAGAATCCCAAAATTTCAAATGTTATGGTAGTGGAAAAGTGAAACCTATTTTTTATCACGGAAGTCAATTCCAGCACACAAAGGTAATTGAGGCAGAATTGCCCAGTTGCTTGAAACACATAAGCATATATACAATAAAAAACTAACGTGAGGGATGGCTAGCTTGTACACCTCTCCTTTTCCGGAAATTTTATCCTTATAAACGGTGTCTACATCTTCGAGCTAGCCATTTTGCATCTGGCCAATCAAAGGCGGGGTTTTAGGCGGACAGTCGACCCTAATTGGTTGAGCGACACGCGCAAGTGCATGCACGTGTGCCAAGACGCCTTGAACATCAAGCGTCAAGGCACGTAGGCGTCACAAAAATTTTCCTGTTTACATGTCTATAACAAGGGTGCGTTTTTTGTGTGGAGGGCTTAAGGTCATCTGCTTGTGGGTATCAACTTGACCTAACTTTCAGTTCTCGTAATTCCTAATGCTGGTCAAGTTGACCAAGCACACCTAGGAATGCACACACTGGAGTTTTAATTTCCTTACACTTTGATAGAGTTGTCAGGTAGGCTTACGAAGAATCAAAGTTAAGTGAACTTACCTCCACCGCCTCCTCCTTGGGCTGGGGGTTCGTAGGATATGGTGAGACTTATCGTTTGCTAAAAAAGTGGAATCAATGCGCCATCAATGCGCCCGTTAAATTTCATGAGTGTTCACATCAAACAAACTGGTCTGGGGAAACCTAAGTAACTGTGATCTCTATAACGGGCGTATTTTAATTGTTTTCCTACTGCTTCGTTTGGTGTCTTGGCAAACTGTTGACTCAATATATTGACTATGAACAAAAATTTAAGACCCGCAAACGCCCTTTAGTTCGGTTATTTGAGGCTCTTCTGAGCTTAAAAACCGTTGCATGTAAATGACAAATTTCATACATCTGTTACATAGAATATTTTCTGAGTCCGCATCGGTTTCACGTAGACATCTTGCTAATGAGGTATTCCATGAAAAAACAGCCTAAAGCCTTCGCTTCAGTCAATCCATGCAAGGAACCACACGGATGTCCAATGACTAGTCAGTATACAAGTGTCAAGGAACCGGACTATTCACCTCTAGTCTTCCGCGATTACATGCAATTTTTGATGCAAAACGACAAGATCATGGACCACTTAAGACCACAGAATGAAGCCAGTCGGTATGGCTTTGGCATCACAAATTCAGTTTGACCAATTAATAACCCCAAGATTTCCTTATAACAATAGAAAATGTTTCAGCCTTTATTTATAGCTCGTGATTTCCACCGGGTTTTATAAAATAAATTTATTCCTAAAATTTGTAATAAATTTGGTCGCGGTGAACTGCAAGATATCTGGCACCAACGAATTTTCTGCTCACCTGTGTTGGCTGGCCGTTTTTATCGTTGAGTGTCAGTGTCTCCTTCTTCTCCTTGGACCCACTGACGAGGGGCCCCAAAGGGATAGTGTTTTTGCCCATAAACCTTAGGTAAATAACAGGGATTGAGAAAACCAATCAGTAGTAATTTACCAACCATATCTGTGCTAATGTAGTGGTAAAAAATAGCTTATACGAAAGAGGAGTGATATGATACAATTGGATGTCAAGATCGCTAGAGAAGCAGTGCCTTGACAAACACCAGACAATCTGTGATAATTGATTAGTCAAAGGTTTTTTATATGAGTAGGGAGACAAATGGTTTTTGGTTTATTGCAGAAAAAAATCTAATAAGCTTACTTGTCAACGGAAACATCATCGTGATCGAAAACTTGAACCAGTAACGAATCATTTCCTGACAGCGGTTCATTTTTTAAGTCGAATTCGACGTTCTATTGGGAATGGCGTTAAGTAATCATTCAAAATCCTTACTTCATTCCATTCCGGGTTAAGATTGTCATTAATGTGCTTGGTTTTTTTCTTTTCTCCTAAAGCAGAAGGTACATTAATGTCGGTAAAGTAGAACTTTGACAAAAAACAGCCACCACGATCATCAAATATGGCAAACCATCATATACTAAATAGAACAAAAGCTCAGGATAACAAAATACCCGATAGGGTCACAACCAATTTAAGGAATGCTATAGTTCAGGTTTTCAGACAGATTCCCATGTGTTGTGAGGTTATTAATGCAGTTTGGTGCTTCACATCCCAGAAGATAGTGCAGAGAGTACACATTATTCCGCTAGAAATAGTCACAACCGTTCCGCCAAAGCATAGATTTTTATCGAAAATGCAGGTCCTCCTTTACAATAAAGGCATACATAGGAAAATATGCAGTAAACCACGTCTACATACAACTGCTGCTACATACATCCTTAATAATTCAACAACCCAATTAAAATAGAGGGGAAATATGGGGAATGGGAATATAGATTTAGCAAAGAATAGGAATCTGGACGACACATATGACAAGCGATAAAAACAAAGTTACAATATTACATTTATGGATCCTTCTTTCACATATATATGGTCACAAAAGCCAAAAAATCAATCTGAAGAAAGCATGAATGTGAATATTCAATATATTATTAAGCATGTTGCTAACGAAACCCAAACAAAGCCCGTTATTTAACGTTTTGCTAACCTCTAAACTCAAGCTTGCAGTACGGATCACTTTTCCCAATCAGCTCCACATTTTTTAGATTTGAAGCCTTCTCGACCTGAACTCGTAACATGTTGCAGCTGGACTGCGCGGCGAGTTAGATTAGGTCAACAGATTCACAGCAAATACATTAAAACAAAGAAATAAAGTCTGATATTTGAACTTAAAAAAATCAATAAATTGCACCTTAATCATTGTTTAACATAGTAAAAATGCTGATCGTCACTGTATACTTGTTCAACTAAATCATGTAGCTTAGGTATGCAAAACACCAAAACCATGCTCTTTCATGCCTCACATTGTGAATTTTCTGGACCATAGTCAGTTTCGCATATGTACCTCTAACTTTTATGTGCTTTTATCAAATTAATTGAGTTTGTCTGGCTCACAGTTATTAGGTATTCTGGTTAAATTCAGTTGATTTATCTAATTTATTTCAGTAAAGTTCGTGATATTTTTATTAATCAAAAGTTACGTTTGCCCAAAATGTGTAATTTTCACTGCCATGTATGCCGCATGCCTAAATCGCAACTTACTTAAAAAATACGGGTCAAAAATTTGAATACAAGCCTCAGCCTTGCAAACAAAATGCAATCGACTATCTTTTTTTAACGCAGCGTCACGCATTTGCATTTTTTTCCCATCCTGGTAGTCAACTGTCAGTGACGAATTAAGGCAACATACAGGACCGGTGACTGTGGATGCAACCTATTTATTTTTGATTCGTACCAGCCAAGGGTGATGGCATGAGGGTGCATGAAAGTGATATCTAGTGCCTTGGATAGGTAAGAATGGTGAATTGTTGAATCCAATCTACTTGCAAGCAAACTTCCCTCACGCATCTGCTAAAGATCCATAAAAATAATTTTAAAAGTTGATTCAGTCAAAATAGAAGTATCCGTCTTAGTTTAATTCGTTGACTCGTTTTAAATAATGTATCAAATAGTGACAACTTAGCATGAGATTTTGCAAGTATTATTTATCGTACTATGAGTTGATCACAAGTTCTGGAGTCGTCTTCTTATTTATTGATCTGTCATATATTAATGACCCATAATTGAAACAATTTTTTTCACCAAATGCGCACAAACGAATAATCAAGTGGTTTTAAATTTTTCTGTTTTGAATGGAGTATAGTGTCAACCCACGCGCGTCTTGGACTCTGATAATTGGTTTGGTAGAGACTCATGTCGTGCTCAAGGACAAATCAGAAACGAATTCGGTTGGTTGTTTACTGCTGTCATCATCTCCTCAACAGGGCGTTTGGCTAAACTGTTTTGCTGCATGCAGTAAGGCAAACAAAGGATGTGCACAATAGCCTGTTGTTTACAAAACTGAATCAAAGTGAAGTAAACTAAGAGCCGTTGCTGAAAACGATGGTTCCCCGATTCATGTGTAGCTGAAGAATCATGACAGTTGTCGATATGGAAGAAGACTTCAAAGGATCGCTGGTCACTACGTGTTAAACCATTGTAATCGGCCCTGGAAAATCAATATGCACAGGGATAAGGGCTTTTGTGGCTTTGGCCGTGCAACCTGGAGAAGATTCGGAGAGATTCATGGCAGCGTGGTGGCGTTTGGAACAACCTTTGATTGGGTCTGCGATTCGTTGGACAGTTTTTTGCCAATAGATGTGGTTTTGGGGGATTGACTTTTTATGGCTAATTCCAGCACGCCAGCAATGAAATCGGCTAAGGGTTCTGTTACGTTTGCCCGTAACAATAGAGAATACCACTCAAATAACGGTACCAGATCCCTTGCTGAAAGCTAGAACCGACCTTCCCAGGCTAATACCAGAACAAGAACAGAGCTCGAGTAGAGAGCTTTATTCACGTA